AAAAATATTATTTTTTGACATTCTAATATGCTTTTGGAAAATTAACTTTTAGATTAAATTAATATCATGCACAGATATTAAATGTGAGTCAAGCGTAAATACCCAGCTTTAGTGTAAAACGATATAGTTTTGGTCGCATATGTTAGCAAACACGAATCATTTATATAAGTAAGATAGAAATCAGTTATGCGTGTGTGTTAGCGTATACTAAAACACACTTAAGATTGTTTATACATATATAGATTACATGTACATATAAACGAACTAAGATTGGCAATTGGTGATTTACTCACAGTTTCAATTCAAGGAGACAACCTAATAATAAAGAGAAGTACATTAATTATAAATCAACTTTTGCTATCTATACGCTTCTCGTTTTCTTTATTCAGACTCTTCTGTGGAAACTATAATTGTTCATAAATAACCGATACACTAGTCTAGACTACACATTTAAATTCTGTTTTCTGTGTAAAATATACTACAGTTGATGGTTAACATAATATAGACCCCGACATACTAGACCAGAGGGAATATTTAATTAACGAAACATGACCTTTTATTATGAATTCTCATAAATGTCTATAAAACTGAAAGGACTTGAATTTTATTAATATTGATTATACTATACATACTATATTTTGAATGGTCTTCAATTTTCTTAGACTTCTTTATATTTTAATTAAATCACATTCTAGTCCTATTATGCACATTATTGTACATAGATTTATTAAAAATTACTGAACATTATTGCTGGCTATGTTCAATAAATGCATAAAATAATGCAGTTATAATATTATTGATAACTCAATAAAAAACAATTAAACATCTTTATTTGTTTTCAAAAATGAATACAAATTTTACCTTATAAATTTTATGATCCATATAAATTGTAATTGCTACCATTTTTGTTCAAAATATAATTTTCGGTTATTGTTATAAAATTTTCATTAGAGTTATTATTAAAATTCATGATGTACTGAAATACGGTGTAATAACATGCAGCGTGCGCTACAGTACTCATATAGCTAATTGTGTAATAAAATAAAACATTAAACGTGATAATCTCTCGAGGCAAATATGGAAATATTCATTGAACACGTGTGTATGATTTTAATATAATATTGTTTTGAAATTTCCTTTATTATATAATAGGCTTTTCAGCTCCCTTGTCTAGCAGTGTGATAATGAATTGATTTGTAATATTTGTCAAGTCATTCGATTATATGCCTCGTGGTTAGTATATTCATTTTTGCTAATAAACAAAGGTAAAATATTATTATGAGTTTAATACTGTCCATCTTCTAAAGTCTTATAATATATGTATAATAAATACAGATTAAAAAATCTTCAGAATTAGGCCTGGCTCTAAGGGTAAGTGACATAGGATTAAGTCTAGGGTGGCATTCTAAGGACATAATATTATCATTGTACTTATTTGACATTGGACATTGTATTTATATGTAAATGGCAACAAAACTTGAGTTAATCTACGTATGTTTAAATACTCGAGCCGATCCTGTTCGACAAATAAAATATACATATACCTAAACTAGTTTTATACATATTAATTGAAAACTAATAATGTTATAATGATGAAGAAATGTTTAAATTTTAACTTTTGTTAAAATCAGTGACATTAAGAAATTTATATTCAGTTTCAAAGAAAAAATAATATAACAGTCAGAATTTTATCACTTGATAAAAATTAGAAACCAAAATGAGTATTTGATCAATAATAAATTCTAATAAGCAATGATCATTTTAAGGAAAATGATAGCAACGCCATTGAAGATTATAAGTCTATTTTCAAAACGATACACGATACGTCGACTGTTATTTTGTTTTATGTTTTGTTAAAGAATCTTTTCTGTTGCTGTTATTCTGCTTGTTTTATAAAGTTTAATTAACTTTTCTCAGTACACAAAAACACACGTCGGATACGATCGCGTTGTTGGAATATCAACTCAGTCACGGTCTTATGGGCGAATGAGAAATATTGAAATTAACACTATGTGTATTATACATATTTACTAACTAAGAGTGCTTTCAAAAAGTATCCACCAATTATTTAATTTATGCTGCTTCCAATCAGTTACGCCTTAAAATTATTTCTATCACAAGAATTTTAGTATCATTAATGAAGTGAATGGAAGTTATTAAATAAACATTAAAGGGAAGTTTGTTATCTTCTTAAAAATTTATAAATCCATATTATACTTCGTTAAATTAAAGAATTTTCTACTTAGAAAATGAATTTGAATAGTATAACTTTACTTATTATAAAAACAATTTTTATATTTATATTTAACTTTTTTTTACGGTAAAAAAATTATCAGAAGCATAAATAAGTATGAAATCTGTAATATGAGTAAAGAATTAAGTTATTTACCTTTTTAACAATTACGAATGACTACCCTAGCCATGAACTTCCAATCTTTTAATTAAGTACATCATTTTTGAGTATTACCCGAACTAGCATAGCTTAAAAGTGATAAATTATTACTTATGATCTCATTACTAATAAGATTGTATCGTTTTTTACTACACTATTCTATTCTTGGAATACAAAAATTATGCAGCACATTTTTATAAAAATTAAGTATAGGTGGACTCAAAATTATAAGTTGAACTCGATAGTAAAAATTTGAAATAAAAAAACATAAAAAATAAAATTAAGATACGATTACCATGAGATTAAAAAAAAATAGTCACTTACAATATTTACATTCTTACTAATTTATATTTCTTTCACCTATTTTCATAAATATTTTTAAAGTTATTTCTATTTTCAAATCCAAAATCTTAGATTTTGTATTTTTTCAGAGTATACATCCAAATTCCATTACTATTAATTTTCTTATGTATTTTGTATTTGTAATTCATATTATTTACAGTATTATTGATTATAATTTTAAAAATTAACTATTATTTTGTACCTCTACAATTACAAAATTATAAAACTGATTATTTATTTTCTTACTATTCCTTTTATTGTATTAAAATTACAATATAAACAAGTAATATGATTTTAGTCCAAAACAGTTATTACATAGTTTTTTTCTTAACAATGTATGTCAATATATTTTTATACATAGAATAAAAGAATATTTTATGAAGGTTTAGTTTTCTATGAACTGCTTCTAAAGGTAGTTAAAATTTGATCGTAAAATAAATATGCACGATAAGAAAGGAAAATGTCGTGAATAGCAAACACAAAATACAAATGGTTCCTCCATTCATCTGTAATATCCTACTTTTATAGTTTATTTTTTATGTTTTTTATACGACAAAATATTGTTTATGTATAAATATACTTAGTAAATAAATTTAAAAAATTAATTTATATTTGTCTTGCCATATATATTTAACCCACAAAACTATAATGTATTATTTTTTTATAATTAATTATATATTATAATAATATATAATGCATTTGTGCAATAAAAAATACACAACTAATTTAAATTTGTAAATTTGTATTCGTTGTTACATTAAATGATTTTAAATAAATATATTTACTTATTATACTTAATTATTCCTTGAAATTTAATGAAAACATTATCCATACACTAAATATTTTTTTTGCGAGTTATTAATTGCAAGATTGAATCCGTATTATTATCTTTATGATTGATTGTTGTATTAGTAAAGAATAACTTCTATGTAAAAAACTAAAAAGACGTAATGTTCTCTCTCAAAATAAATTTTCATGTATTATATGGATGGTGATAACTAAATAGTTTACTATGAAAAAAGTATGCTGTATGAAAATAAGAAGTAGACTTTGGCTCACAATGTTGTAACTACATATTTTTATATTATATTCTATAATTTTGTTAATCTATATAAAAATAAGAATTCTGTTGATATGTTTTACTTTTGAAAAGGGGTTTTTATATTAATATATAATATATTGCATACTAGGTAAATTTTACTAGATTAGTTTATATAGTAATGTAGTTTATTATTATACCAAACCCTAATCTACATTAAATTGTAGTTACTCATTCATAACTAGAGACATTGGATTTAATTTTAATGGTCTTTGTATAGATTATATATTCCTGGTTAATATTTTCGTCATTAGTTTGTAGCTGTATAAAAATGTATTATCAAATATTTTTTATTACATTTTAAACAATTCATTTTTTAAAAATTTTGTGAATAAACAATAACAGACAATAATATTACAAATCACAAAAATTAAACCAGTATCAAAGAAAAATATATATATATATATATATATATATATATATAAATGATAGATTTAAAAATTTAATAATGAAAATAGTATTTTAAAAATTTTAGAATACTATGGAGAGTAATATTACTATTTTTATTCTTTATGCTTACAAGTATTGGTGATGATCTTGTCTTTCTGAATATTTAGATTCTTTGTAATATTAAGAAACAATAGCGTGTAAAATATTGTTCTAAATAATTACACATAATTAATTTGAATGATTTAATTACAGAGCAGTGCTTTTAGTAACGTTTTATTAAAAACAATAGACAAAATGAAAGTGGAACAGAATAAAAATATTAGATTGTACATTTTAAAACTATCAAACATTTAATCTTTACATGCTCGTGGGATCAAAAAGCTTAGTGAGTAGGCGTGTATAGCAGTTTATATAAAGGCATTATCCTCATTTTACCCCACGATTTGAGAACAGATTTCAAATAGGATAAAAGGGTATAGTAAAAGTTAATTGAATTTATACTAACTACAGAGTTAAAAATTGTCATTAGAAAAAAATAATTTAAAATTAGCGTTTGAAATAATTTACGTGCAAAAATTATTTTTTGTCACAATAAGTTTTTTTTTATAGAAGTTAAAGTATTTAATGAAATAGGAATAAATATCAGTACTAAAACTGAAGTTGTAAAATTTTGAGAGATATTAATTAATATAACGTATTTTTTGATAAAAACTATGGAATAAGAAAAATATTGTGATTTGAGAATTTTAATATGTTAATATTTTATTTATTTTATAGTGGGAAGAAATGAACTTTGCAAAACAATTGTCTGTTCTAAGGGCCAACATTGTGTGATAGATAAGCTTGGTGGAGCTCGTTGTGAATGTTATTCAGAAATTGAATGTTTAAAAAGTAATGAAAACGAAATCGTTTGTGGAAGTGATTTTCAAGAATATTCAAATATATGTTATATGAAGAGAGAAGTGTGTTTACTCAATAAAAACATAGTTGTAAAATACAAAGGACCTTGTGGTAATTATTAAAATGTTGTCATTTTTACTTTTAAAAGTCAATATCTCCTTAGCATCTTATAGAAGCCAAAAGTTTATTATACTCTTATAAAATATATTTAGATCCATGTAGACACCTTACTTGTGAAGATCCTGAAATATGCCGTCTTGATTACAATAGACAACCTAGATGCGTTTGCTCTGAATTTTGTAATGAAGACTTCAATCCAATTTGTGGATCTGATGGCAAAACATATGCTAATGAATGTTTTTTACGGCGACAGGCATGTAGAATGATGCCAGACCTTCGAATTATCTTCCACGGAGATTGTGATCAAGGTAAATTTTAAATTTGTTCTGCACTTTACTTAATTAAGAAACTCATAAAATGTAATTTTATTTGCAGGTATTAATCCTTGCATAAATGTCACATGTTGGCACGGATCTCATTGTAAAATTAATAGACTAGGTATTTCTGAATGTTTATGTCCAGAACCAACTTTATGTGAGGATTCTGTCCAACCAATCTGTGGTACTGATGGTCTTACTTATGAATCAAAATGTCACCTAAATCGAATTAATTGCATTTCTAAATCAGATATTAAAATGGCATATGAAGGACCTTGTGGTAAAATTTCTTCAATCAAATATTATTTAATTAATTATAATTAATTAACGTTATCCATTAAAGGCGAAACAAATCTCTGTAAAAAATATTTTTGTGATTTTGGAGCTACATGTAAATTAAAAAATGGAGTAACGAGCTGTGAGTGTTCTTTATGTTCTGAACACTATGAACCAGTATGTGGTTCAGATAGTAATACGTACAGCAATGAATGTAAATTAAAGTACCATAATTGTCGCAAAAAGAAAGCAATACATGTAATTCATAAAGGAGCTTGTAGTAAGTAAAAAAAATTATTAGTTTACATTGAAATATCAAAATTTTAATTAATTTTAGGCGATTGCTCACAAATGAATTGCGAGTATTATTCTGTATGTGAAAGTGATGGATCTAAAGCAAAATGTGTTTGTCCAACATTCAAATGTTCAAATGTAAGATATCTACTAAATTAGTACATATAAAATAATTATTGCGAATTCTGTAAGGGAATTTTTTCTGAATACAACCAAAGTAAATTTATTTGGATAAAGTCAACAGCAATTGAATATTTCGAGTTATTAATGTTTGTCAATATTCAAACTTCATTATAGTTTATATTTTATATACTTAAAATTAGTGTTAATTTGTTTAAATTAAAAATAAATTATTTAATTAATAGTTTTAAGAGATAAATTAATAACAATATAATAAAAAAATTCTAAATAGCTTTAAGCGTTTTACTAACCTCAAATTAATAATATTTTTTAGAATAAAAGCAATTTTTTACTTTTAAATATTTGTGTTGTTATTATTACAACTGTAATTTATTTGGAGACTATTAAATATTTAAAATATACTATTTATACTATTATTAAAATTATAGTTAAAAAATTGTTTTAAATAAACAATTAAATGAAAAATATCAAATTTCGGGTATATATGTTTAAAACATTGATGGTTTACAAATCAACTAAAACTTAATTTTTTTATTTACACAGACAAGCGGTAAAGTTTGTGGTTCCGACGGTATCACGTACACAGACCTTTGTCATCTACAAAATGCCAGTTGTGCAACAAGGAAGAAGATATTCGTTGCTCATGCGGGTGAATGCGGTACGGTGATTAATTCACTGATTTTCTACTATTTACCTCAAATAACATAAGTTAAATGTTTTAGGGTCTTATCAGGATCAGAAATACAATTGTTCTAAAACATGTGTGGATACAAATTCATCTGAACCTGTTTGTGGATCTGATTTAATTACTTATAACAGTGAATGTGAACTTTTCCAACAAGCTTGCATTCAAAATAGTACGCATAACTTAACAATTCTTTTCTATGGAGATTGTAAAGAATCTTCATCCATAGGTATAAATAAGAAATGAATACATTAACATTAATAAATGCATGTTTAACAGTAATTAAAATTATAAATACAATAATTTCATTATCATAAAATATATATACCAACTACAGTTATATGTAGTATATGTATTACAACATAATATGTAATATTATGTACAACACTATTTATACATAATATTGTTACGTACTTTAAAAATACATTTTTTTAATTTTAGACTTCATTAAAAAAATATCTTAGATGCACCTGGACTAGTTGTATTTTAAGTAGCAAACATTTTTATCATTACAATTAATTTGTTTGAATAATTAACAAAAATTGTTTTTATAATATGTAATTAACGACTTAAGACGCTAAATGTACTAATAATCTATATATTATACATTTAGGTAAAATGTCAACAACACACGTTTCGTTAGAAAATACTGTTTATGGAAATAAAGACGTTTGTAAAGACATAAAATGTGATTTTGATGCTACCTGTGAAGTCGGCCCAGACGGCTTCCCAAGATGTTCTTGTTTATTTAATTGCTCAAATAATAATTATCCGGTGTGCAGTTCTGACTTCAGAATTTATAATTCACTATGTCTTATGAAAATGGAAGGATGTCAGAGACAGCATGAACTTCGTCTGAGACCTATGGACTTATGTCAAGGTATCATTTAACAAATTAAAATAAAAGCAATTTTGTATACTTTTCTTATACTTATAATTAGGTATGGAAGTAAAACCATGTAATGGTAAGAAACCATTAATTAATCCTTTTGACGGGCGTGAGTTAGATTGTGGGAATGGGTCAAATAGACAAGATTGTCCATCGGACAGTTACTGTCACCAAACTTCTAGATTTGCAAAATGTTGTGATAAATTAGAAAGAGGTGAGAATATGATTTTAATGCCCAAGATTTTATTTTTAATGATTTTTATTACATTAGATGTGATAATTTTACCACTGGCTTGTCAAAATACATCATACGGATGTTGTCTAGACAAGAAAACACCAGCCCAGGGTCCAAATTTTTTAGGATGCCCACCATTGTGTACATGTAACAAATTGGGTAAAAAATAATTATTTTAAATATTGCATTTTTTAATATTTTTTTTTTTGAGAAATGCGGAACTATTTCAATTATAATATACTTTATTCAGGATCACTATACGAAGATTGCGTCGACGGTAAATGTATTTGTAAATCAGGAGTTGGAGGAGAAAAATGTGATAGATGTGAACCTGGATACTGGGGTTTACCGAAAATATCATCTAGTCATCTTGGATGCATGCGTTAGTGTTTATAAATTACATTTTATTTTTATTAATAATAAACTGTTAATTGTAATTATTTTAATAGCATGTGGCTGTTCTTTATTGGGTTCGGTTCGAGATGATTGTGAACAAATGACTGGTCGATGCGTATGCAAACCAGGGGCCATCGGAGCCAAATGTAATGCTTGTGAAGATAATTCTAAAATTATGAGTCCTGCTGGATGTATATCAGGTCTGAGAAAAAATAACCTCATAATTGATAATTTTATATAATGAAATTAACTACTTTTAGCCGATATGGCTCAGCGAAATTTAACATCCTGTGATCAATTGATGTGTTATTATGGAGGGTTCTGTGAAATGAATAACGGGAAACCATCATGTATTTGTCGTTCTACTTGTGCTGAAGATGCTACGCGTACCACGGTATATTAAATGCTTTAAAGGTTTTTAATTAACTTATACAAATAAAAAAGTGACTTAAAATTTTAAATATAGCTGGTTTGTGGAAGTGATGGACAAACATATAGTTCAGAATGCCAACTAAAACTTTATGCGTGTCGATATCAAAAAGACATTGTGGTTAAATCACATACATCATGTAAAGGTAATGGACCAATAAATATTGATAAAACCAATTTAATACACTTACTTTCAAAATTCTTGTGTATAGTGCACTTTTAAGCGTATAATAAACATAAATTTTTTTTTAAATTATTGAAAGTATAAAAAAAAAATGGTTTTATATAAAACGATTATTCGTGAAAAATTCTGTAACATGAAATTCTTATAACCCTACCTAAATAATTATTTATATATAGTAAAATATACGATTTTATAACGACTTCGAGACATATTCAATAATTTAGATGATTAAAATTCAATAAAATCTTCAATCGGCTACATATATAAATTATCAAAACTGATATACTTCTTCTGTTTTAAAATCAAATATGTTCCTAATACTCAAGATTTTAACAATATATTTTATAATATTTATAATATTTTAACAATATATCAATAATAATTAACAATATATTCAATAGTATTGATTAAAATCACTATTGTAAAATACTTCAAATAAGATGTCTAAAGCATAAATTGTAATTGAATCAAATTAAATAAATATATACATCATATTTACCAAAAGTTACATAATTTTCAACTTTAGAGGTTGATTATTCATAGACAAGTTGTTTAAACGTCTTTTTTTTTAATTGTATAATATATTATTTAAGCTTTAATATGAATGTTTCTTTATATGCAAAATACATAAAAATTTGGTTTTTGAATTAGTTAATTGATTAAATAGATAAATTGATAAAAAAAAATAGTTCTTTTGATAGTTTTTCTTTTATCATCTTAAAGTACATTGCACGAGCTCAGAAAGTTAAATTTCAATAGTGTTGCAATAGAAAATTCGTAATTATCCGTCAAATTTACTAAAAGTTATTTCAATAGTAATTCAAAACTAAAAATATCAATATCCACTGTTTAATAGCAATTGTATTTTTCTCTTTATTACGAAAGATGAGTGTAATTTTTCCAAATCAACACTTGATAGTTCACCTAGATACAATTACATCACATTTATTTAATTAGGTATCTACGTTGAAGAAGAAAATAATATTGTCGGGACGGAAGAGCCTAAATTCACACAATCGCATGACGTTATTATATCCAAATCGACAAGACATTTATTATTTTCTGAGTTTCCAAAAGTGTCATATAATACTTCAGGTAACTATGAGATTGAATTCATACCAGAAGTTCAAGATTTAATGGGAAGAACTACACCGGAACCGACTGATCGTATTTCTCTATGCAACCCAAATCCGTGCCAAAATGGTGGAGAATGTGAAGAATTAGATATTGATGGTTATCAATGTAATTGTCTCTATCCTTATAGTGGTACAACATGTTCTAAAATGGATGAAATTAAAGGTAAATATAATTAATTTATTTCAAATTTTTAATAAAAGTTTATTTAAAAAATTAAAAATAATCAAAAAAATTAAGAAAATTGCATTAAATTATGTTATACCTATTTTAAAGATTTAAACATTAAAATACATTTAATTAAAACAAAATTAAACAAGTAAGATAATATTTATTCTCAAAAAATAATAAATTGTTGGTGTTATGGTTAGTTTATTATCTAAAATTTTTGAAATTATTCAGATATTAACTCTAATATACTACTTTCCATTTCTTCTTTTTAATAGACATTAAATCTGCTGCATTCAATGGGCATTCTTATGTTCAATTAAAAAAACTAAAAGCTTACCACCGATTCAGTTTAGAAATGGAATTTAAGAGCTATTCTGGAGATGGTATTCTTTTGTATAATCAACAAAGACCAGATGGATCTGGAGATTTCATATCAATAGCTATAGTTAACAAGTAATTATTCGATGTTTTTGAATTGTTTTAATTAATAAATTAACCAAATTATAATTTCTTAACTATAGATTTGTTGAATTTAAATATAATCTTGGCAATGGAGCTGTAATTTTAACATCTTTACATCCAATAATTATCGGTCGTAAACATAAAATCATAGCCAAACGTTACCAGAGAGATGGTCTACTACAGTTTGAAGATTATGAACCAGTTCGTTCAGTTTCAATGGGATCGTTGAGATCATTAGATTTAAATGATAACGCTTATGTAGGATATGTTCCAATACCACATAAAAAGTATAATTTATAGAATTGCTGAAGCTTACAAATTGATTTTTAAAAGAGTGTATATAATTAACGTCTATTATTTAATTCAGGGTTTTTGAAAATATTGGAGTAAAATCAGGTTTAACTGGGTGTATATCAAACTTGAAAATTGGTCGATATATAGTAAATTTATTGGGGTTTGAAGATAGTGATATAATAACAAGATCAGAAGGTGTTACAGAATGTCAGAAAAGTTGTATAAATGGTACTTGTGGCTGCGCTGGTAATTAAAAATACTTCTAAAATTAATTCCTATAAAAATGTACATAATTTATTACAAAAATTTTTCATCAAATGTAGACAAAGTGTGTTATGATAATATGGCTTGCTCTTCAGAGCCATGCAGTTTTGGATCTACATGTGAGAGCTTACCAGGTGGTAGATATGCTTGTTTTTGCTTACCTGGTCTGACTGGAACTAATTGTGATAAATGTATGATAACATCGTTATTTATTATTTATAAACATTATATTGATGTTTCTTTTTAAAACAGTTGAATATGATCTAGAAAAATATTACTCACCAGAATTCAGTGGAAAAAATTCATATATCGCCTTGCCATTATTTGAGGATCTTCGAAGACATACTCAAATTGAAATTTGGTTTGGCTCTGTATCGAATTCAGGTTTATTATTGTACAGTGGACAATCTGCTAGAGGACAAGGAGATTTTATTGCCGTTTACTTATTAGATGGCCGAGTCATCTTGTCCTATGATTTAGGCAGTGGAAAAGTTACCATCACGTAAGACTATAAAATACATTTTTAAATATTTTTTCTCATATTATAAAGATTATAACGACATCTATCTATTCATCATAATATTTTACTATTTAAGATATAGTTACTATTTACTAACCTAAAAATAAAAATTCTTTGTTCTTAAAGTAAGCTAAACTCATAATTTACCAGCCTAAACAAAAATTCTGAGGAGAGTCCACCATAGGCCGAGACAAACCAAAGGCAAAACCGAAGCTCCATGGGTTTTGTATCCTATTCTAGAGAGAAAAAAGTTATAAACAACAGTTATAACATTTATTAAAATGTATAAAATATTTTAATTTAATATTGATTTCTATTTTATATTAAATTTTGTAATTAACGAAACAAAATAAAATAAGAATAGTAAATAAAACTAAGAGAATCAAAATTTAAATTAATATAACAAATAAATAGAATATCACTTTACAATTTATGTAATATGAAAGCAAAATATATACACAAAAGGATACATGAAAGGAAAAAGGTTAAGATGATTGTAAATAGTTAAATATAACTTCTTTTATGGGACATTCTTTTTTTAAATCGGACCATTTCCCTTAAACTTAAAAATGCATATAGAAAGTAGAACTTCATCAACCTAATTTTTGAAAGTGTTCCGGAAATACTGACACTTTTATATATATCTTAAATAAAAGTTTATGTAATATATTTTAATATGAAAAAAATGGTAGCACAGTGGGATCGCGGCACAGTATGGATATGGCATAGTTGGGACACGTATATAGTCAGATATCATCTGACAGTAATTAGAATCACTATCATAAGAAACGCTTCGATAAAAATCTGTGTATAGTGTTCAATTTTAATAAATTGGTGGATTATTCCAAAAGAAAAATTAATTTCTATTTCCTTCATTATTCCTGATTAGTATTTTTTTTGATTTAGAAGTATAATATATGAATACATATTTATTATAGTATTTAAATATAGTATGATATTGATATTTTATAATTTAGTATTGTAATTTTTTCGGATAATTTATAAAAAATTATAAAGTAGTTATTAATTTTATGGCAAACGTGTATAAAAATTGAAGGGCTTGATACAAAAATGTTCAGAAAATAATTTGTGGTTAATTATGAATAAATGGTCTACAAATAAATTTCATCAGAGACAAAAATATACTTTTAGTATTCAATTTTTTGTGTTGAATTTTGTTTTCTACCTCAAAAAAAAAAAAATTAAGAAAAAAATAGAAAAAAAATTATTTTGACTGGCGGGTTTCAAACTTTGTACCCCAAACATATAGGACTATATAGTTAATAACGCAACCACTGTAATTGACATGAATAATTTTTATAAAAAGAATTATTTAATCTAGTTCAAAAATTCAGAGTCACTTTTCTTAATTTAAATATTCAAAACAAGTTTAAATTTTTATTTAATCCAAGTTAGATTCATACAAATTTTATAAAAATTGATGGACTCATTACTATGACAAACCCATGTATAAGTATTCTAAAATAAATAATAAAAAAAAAATTGAACTTAATAATAGCATGTATTTAACTACGCCAGCCATTTGCAAATAGAAGATAAGTCGTCGGGATAATTTATTATTATTATTAGTACATAACATAACCTTTAATTTGGCATATGTTTAAAGAACGCAGTATTTCCGGAATATTTTTAAAAGTTAAGTTTTGTAAAAAAGTTTCTATTTTGAATTCTCCCCTGTGTGTAGATAAAGGGTAGGATTATCAAAAAAATTATATCAAATGAAAGGAAAATGCCTAGGGTTTTAATATAAAAAAAAATTATTTTGATTTGTTAATAACTCAAAAAGTTATGGCAGTTTTAAGTACCAAAATAACATTGATTTTTACACGAAAATTACATTTTTTGTTCAATTTAGACGGTTATTTGCACATAGCAGATAGGTCGTTGGGACAAATTTTTTTTTTTTTAAACTTATATTACATAATGTAAGATTTAATTTAACATATGTTTAAAGAACTTCAGTATTTTTAAAACTTAAGTTGAAAAAGTTAAGTTTTGTAAATAAGTTGCTACTTTGAATTTATTCTTGTGGGTATATACAGGGTCGGATTATCAAAAAAATTATATCAAATGAAATACCTAAGGTTTTAATATAAAAAATATTATTTTGATTCATTTATTCATTAAGTTATGGCAATTTTTAGAAAAAAAAATTTCAAAATTTACCAATTTTCATAATCGTAATTTTTTGGGGGATTTTCACCATTTACAGGGTAATAAGGGTAAAATTTTTAATTTGTGAGGGTAAAACTAGATACGATTTTTGATCTTTTGGCGTATCGTTGAGAAAAATCGGTCCAGTGAGAGCTGAGAAAAAGTAGTGACAGACACAAAATAAAAAAATAAACACATCATAGTAAAATAAAACCTTCCCATCTTTGCATCAAAGCTAAAATTTTAGGACTTTATTTTGTTTTCATGGTGAAAACGAACATTATGGTTGATAATTAAAAATACGATTTTTGTAAAAAATTACAATATTAAATAATTAAATATCAATTTCATACTATATTTAATTTCTATAATAAATGTTAAATCATATATTACACTTATAAATCATAAAACTTGATATAAATAAGGAAATAGGAGATCATGTTGCTTTTGGAATAATCCACCATTTTTTTTTTTAATTAATCACTATCTACAGATTTGCATCGAATCGTTTTTTATGATAGTGATTTCAATCGCTGTCAGATATCATATATACTGAACCCAACTATGCTGCATCCCCACTGTGTTAGGTTTTTTTGTCTCATAACTCTTTTGACACGATAATCATGTTTAAAAGGATATGATGTATTAAACTAGCACCCCTTAACTAAATGTGCTTCTGTGTATAATTAAATAACACGTATTTTTCTAAAAATGTTAAAAGTATAATGTTTATGTAAGGTTTTTTTGTATTTTGATATTCCTAAAAAAATTTGGTATTTAATTTTAAAATAATATATTGTATTTTAATAATTTTTCATGTACATATATACAACTATTTTAAATTTCTAGAACGGAAAACCGATTTGTAATGTCTCCAAACTGGAATTTATTGAAAATAAAAAGATTTGATAATCAAGCATCTATTCAATTAAATGATGGCAATATCACTACGGGGCATTCAAATTCGCGGCTAGTTGAATTAAATTTAGAATTACCTTTGTACATCGGAGGTGTACCGTAAGACAATGTTTAAATAAGTACTCTTACTAAACTATAAAATTATTATTTATTTACAATTTTAGACCAACAGTACAGCTAAATCAAGAATCTTCCGTTATTCCACCTTTTACTGGAGCAATACAAAGAATAGTTCTAAATGAAAAAGCTTGTAATCTTTCTTCAGGTTATAGTCAAGGAATAGAACATTACCGAGGAGCTCCATGTGGTTATACTCCATGTTTAAATGGAGGTACATGTTTCCCAGTTCTTTCTAGATTTTTATGCCATTGTGGTCCACGCCATTATGGACCATTATGTGAACATAGTAAGTTTACAATTTGACAAAATTTCTTTATAAAATCCATTTATAAGAGTTTTTATAATTACAGCGCACAACACGTTATGAACAATTTTTTAATCAAAAGGTCATTTTATTGAAAAATGAACAACTGAAAATTTGAAGTATCAAAAATCACATATACCTAAATGTGTACTATTTAAGTTTGAATTGTTTGTATATATATTTTTGTGGAAGTTCCTAGACATTTTATAAGCGAATAAAATTTTAATTTTTCTGAAATATTTATATTTAGTTAACGGATAATTTATAAATATGTATTATAATTTTTGTACATAATTTTTAATTGGTCAACCTTTTTGCTACCAATTACAATTAAAATAATTTTTGAAAAATTTGTTGAGAATTAATTTCTAAATATTTTTATGATAAATGTAAGATAATATCTATTTCTAAGAAGTATATGTTATTTTGACATAATAGAGCTATAATATAACTTTTTTACATCATAGATCATTAGAAATATCTTTTGGTTTTTAAAATATACATTCGACTTTTGATGAAATTATAATCGAGGCTACGCATTTATTAGTTAAGGTAGATTTTATAGTTATTTTCAAAAGGAAATATGTCAATTTTAATATTAATTCATGAAGGCAAAAAAGTAATATGAAAATTTTATAATATCGTATGCAAATATAATTTTTTTAATATAAAAAATAAAATTTGTCGATCAAATAGACTTGGATTTTTAATGTACGTCATAGAACAACTTTTTGTGACTTATGAGCTTTAGAGTATGTCACATAAATTAAATTAAAATGTCAAGTTAATTAAATTAAATTAAACAAATGATTGATTGTAAAGCATAACTATCCATATTATTTTTTTCTTATAATATGATTTAATTAATCTTGATATTTAACTACCCCAAATAAAATTGTGGTATCCATTTCATATCTATTCATATAATTGTTAATTCCTACAATTAAACAAAAAAGATAGAAAACCGTTTTAATTATTATCAATATTTAAAAATTGTTAGTTTACGTGTCTCAGTAAATATTTCTATTATTTTGACATTAAAAAAATGGTGGATTGTTAATAATTCCATATCAATTAATTTTGTCTGTTTTATGAATGATTATGGTATTACTCACCACAATGTTAAATCGCTTGCAAGATACAAAATAAAGTGACTAACAACCTAAAACACGCATAATAATAATTATACGTTTAAGCTAAGCATAAAAAATGTACAATTTCAATAAGAAAAAAATACTATGTACAATACCGCTAAGTTTAAATTTGTATCATTGTTCCATAATCCTTCTGACATAATTCTTTTTACTCCAGTTAATGTTTTTAGAAAACTCCGAAGAATTCTTTTTCACTATAGAAATTTAAATACCTCTATAATACATATGAATTTTGTTAAAAGTAAGTAATTTTTTATTTTTACTTAGGGCTTGACCTAATATTTTTTAATGAGATTGCTAATACATTTTTTTTTGTTCTAACAGTAACATAATTGAATTTTTGACCAAATAGACCTTTTTTGGCTCATAACTATTTTTTGTTAAAACAAACTCCAAGAATTATATTTGTAAAACTACTGCCAGTGGTGATTTCATAAGAGTTTTGGGGGGTAATACTACCCTCCTCCACAAAATTATATTAATAGTAAAGTTATTATCACTTTAATTGCCCTTCTATGATAGCCATTTAATAAAGTAGATTATGAGACTACTTTGGTATCAAATTTTTTCGTGTCAAACTTTAGTCTATGATTATCTGAGAAGGGTAGAAGTAATATCATCTTTACACCCTAAGTATAACATATAGATGAGGGAATTTTTTTTCATGAAAATTATCCGTACTTGAATGAACGCCTATAATTTTATAAAATAAAAATTTATAAATTGAAAGTAGTTGTTGCATTTATTAACACTTGTATAGTTATCGTAAAAGAATCGATTTTGTTTCATTAACAATTGATAAATAATTTTATATAATATATCAAAATTTTGTTATAAAAATTGTAATCAAAATCAGCATTTTTAACTTGAAACGGATTTCTAAAGAGCCACTTAAGTTTTATTAAAAAATTATGTATATCAAATTATAATAAAATGAAATTGCTATTAAATATTAATTATGGGTTTATTATGATTATACAAATTCATTAATTAATTTTAAAGTACAAGGCAAGTACTTTTCTGTCATACATTGTTATACAATATATTTTTAATAATATGTTAAGATATATATATAAATTACAATTCCACGATATTAAATAGTACTTTTTAAATAGAATTGAAAAATTGTAACATTTTATTAATGCAGCCAATGATATATTTTCCACTTCAGTTATAATCAATTTTTCAAGCACATATTATTTTCATAGAAAAAATACCTATACCTACTAATTTCGTTAACCAATATTTATTGTGTAACGCTTATGTTACTTCTATTCTTCTCTTATTTCTCATAACATGTACTGACAAGTCCTATAACTTAAGTTATTGAATTTTTCAGACCATAGTGGGATACTCTATATAACATAACTTCCTATGAAAAAATTTTCAGTATAAATTATGACCTCATTGTTTCATACGATACATTATACGTAGGTTATCGCAGATTTTATTCATTGAAAAAGTAAATAAAAAACTAATAACTGCTCAACTTTACATTAGAGCTAATAAGAAATGAGTTTAATAAAATACTTAAATTAAATTAGATTCTATAAATTTTTTATAATTTTACTTTTTGAAGGAATCTTTTATTATGTAAGACAGCTTGTCTTACATAAGATTTAGACATTCCATCCATGGATGGATATGTGTTACAAATATAACGTATTTAATTGAAAGATATTACTAATAATAATTAATCATTTTGAAATTTTATTTTTATTAGGAAACAAATTAATTTAATATTCAGATAAGTATATTTGAATTATATCAAATGGAATCATTAGTTTTAAAACATAATCATATGAACTCAAAATGTTCATCTTGTGTATTATATAAACTTAATACAGGTACTACAATTTTCTATAATTTTACATACATATAAGGTAACGATACCTCAGATGAACTTAGTTAGTATAAATTCTTTATAAATTTACATTTTTACATATAACCTTAGACTACATAACTTATAGATTATGAATCCTATAAAGTCTATACAAATTATAAACGATATGCAGTGAACGTTTTGTAAAAAATTCCAACATCATAACAATTTTTTATCTTCTTAAATAGAGAAAATATAATTGCTTAAGAATTTTAATTTTATTAGGGTTAAATACTAACATAAAGCGCAAAGCTTTGGGGAGACTTGGGGAACTGCGGTCACCTTAGCAAAAATTGTTATAACTCTGGTTCTAAGGCTCTAAATGTTATGCTATTACAACATATGGATGCATAAACATATTGACTACATTATGTCAAAGTCTCAGATTTTTAAAACATAATCTTATATGTATAAATATATATATATATTTTTAATGCAAATGGCTGATATTCCGTCTACCCTGGGGAATATCGGCCATACATAAATACATGCAAAAAGCTAAGGAAACAATTACTTTTAAAAATATCACTGAAATATAGTTCATATAAATTATAGATATATAATATTTTGTTTACCTTAAATTAAATTTCTTAAAAAATTTTTTTTAGATAAATAAATGCTGAAAATTATTTTTACACATTTAAACGTGAAAACGTTTTTTTATAATATCGTTCTAATAAGAATAAGGTCTTTTTTATCATTCTTAATTTATACATATGGTCAACATAATTTTAGATGCATGAGTTTATTAGATAATGAGGTGACCGGTATTACCCACTGACCATAGTTCCCCCAGTCTCCTCTAAGCTATTTGGTTAATCAATCATACTATATTATGCATAATAGGCATGGTGATAAACTATTTCACATTTACAGAATCTAAAAAATGGACAAGTGCATACGAAAAAAGCAGTTTAATCGATTTACACAGCAAACAATATAGACGTTCAGATGTAGTCACTGCAAGAGAAAATAAAGATTCTAAATATTTTGAACGTCGAAAAAGAAATAACTTAGCTGCTAAAAAATCTAGAGATGCCAAACGCAGGAGAGAAAATGAAGTTAGCTATTTCGTTTTCTTTTATCATTAAAAAAAAAACCCAGCACAAGGGGATCGCGGCATAGTGGTGACGTGGCATAGATGGGTCAATTATAATGATATCTGACAGTGATTAAAATCACTATCATAAAAGACGCTTCGATACAAATCTGTAGATAGTGTTTAATTTTAAGAAATTTGTGGATTATTCCAAAAGCTACATGATCTCCTATTTCCTTATTTATATCCTGATTACAAGTTTTATGATTTATAAGTGTAATATATGAATAAATTAATATCTATATATATTTATAATATTTAAATATATAAAGGGAAATGGTGTTATTTAAAAAAAAAGTATGTAGAATGAAAGAGGGATATAAATATTATTTCTCATAAAAAAATTGTATTGATCCATTCACTTTTCAATAAGTTATAACATTATTAAGATAAAAATGTAAAATATAAAATCGAGAATTTCCACACAAAAATAGCATTCGATAACTACTTTTTTTTTTTTCATAATAAAGTACATTACATTAGCTTTAATTTAATATATATATAAAAGTGTTACTTTCCAGAACACTTTTAAAAGTTAATTTTTGTGAACAAGTTGTCATTTTAAATCCTCCCCTGTGGGCAGTTAAAGGGTCAGATTTATAAAAAAAATATACCAAATGATAAATAAATACCTTATGTATCTATAAATAAAAAAATTGATATTGATTTGGTCATTTTTAAAAAAGTTGTGGCAGTTTAATGTAAAAAAAATGTTGAAAATTAACGATTTTTAAATTTGTAATTTCCCCTATTTACGGGGAACGAGGGAATTTTTGAGGGTAATGTCTTCGATTAGATACGATTCATGATTTTTTGACGTATCGTTGAAAGAAATCGGTTCGGTGAGAGCTGAGAAAAAGTGGTAAAAGACACACAAATAAAAAACATTATAGTAAAATTAATACCTTCTCAGGTTCCCATCGAAGCTAAAATTAGGTTAGGTTTTTTATTATGACAATGTTGTTATTCCTATTTTTAAGAAAAAAGTAAGATTTGAGAAGAATTAGTGAAATAAATTTCAGAATTAGAAGTTATACAGTAACAACTGGTTGAAACTCAATCTGGAAAGTATAATGAAATTATTGAACTCAAAGAAAAAATGATCAAATGCCAATTAGATGATAGTGATGAAGAAGATGATGTTTTATCTATTATTTTATTCTATAAAAGTTTAAATGTTATTTTTGTACAGAAGAAAAATTGTTTATAGTTATGATAAAGCAATAAAAAAATATAAACAGCACTTATAAACTGTTTTTTAAATTATTAATATTTAAAATCAAAACACTGAAACCATAATATAATAAAGAACGATTTCATCCATTGAATATAACCACTTTGTAATGATAAAGTTTTGTAACAAAAAAAAAGTGATTTCTTGTTAAGCCCTCAAAAAAAAAATTCCTATTAGATGAGTGATTAAGATGATGCTTTATTCTATAAAAGTTTAATTTCTTATTAAATTTTATTCTTGAATATATTTATTAGTGTTCAACAACGATATATTTTTAGATATCGATATCGTACCTAATTTCAGCAATATTATATCGCAATATTAAAAAAAAAATTGTATCCGATATCGTATGAAAAAATTAATTAATATCGAATAAAAAAATGATATTCAAAGATTAAATTTAATATTTAAATCTTTAATCATTTTTTTTTATTTTCAAGAATACCGTTAAGTTACCATTGTTGTAAAAATCAGGCTATGGCATACCAACCAAATAAAATGATATTAATATCAAAAAATTATAGTTATTAGCTACATCTCATAATGATAATAAAATATTTTCAAATTAATTATTATTATAAAGAAATTAGTTTTCTTTTGTTACAAGACTTTATGATACAAATTGGATATATTAAATGGATGAATTTGTGTTTTTTGAATAATACTATTATATTTTCAGTATTCTGGTTTTAAATTAAAAAAATTATTAGTGCTAATCATATTTTTTTTATTACATTAAGTCATAATTGAAAACAATTTTTCTTCTTTTCAAACATAAAATTTAAGCAAAATAAAACATCGTCATCTTCATCTCTATGATTTATTAGGGATTTTTATTTGGGTTCAGTTTCATTTTATTTTCTAGACTGAGTTTCAACCAGTCGTTGTTGTAATTCTTCTAAGTCTAAAATTTCTTTCTCTAACTCTCCTCATACCTTACTTTTTTCGTGTTTTGTTAAAAATATGAATAACAAAAATGTCATAATAAAAAACTTAATCTAAAAATAGAATTTTGTACCAATAAATATAATTTTTGGTCTTATCTCAATTCTATATTTCATAATATTTTATAAAGGATATCCTTCATAAAGGATGGACAATCAAGTAATCCTCCGTAGATGACCTTAGAGTCCTGTCTTTCTGGCGAAATTAAGTATCTGTCTGGGTCTTGGGTTTTTAATATCTTCTTTTTCAGGAAAAGTTTACTAAAGGAGTAGTTTGATCTTAGTATGGACAAGGCTTCACATTCGCACAATATGTGAAAATCAATATTTATATAATATATTCAAAGTTAGGTTAATTTTTTTTTCGATATCGATTTATTTTTTCATACGATATTGGGAACAATTTTCTTTTTCAATATTGCTATATAATATTACTGAAATTCAGTACAATATCGATATCCAAAAATATATCGTTGGCGAACCCTAATAATTTTATTCCTAACACTAGAATTAATTTTAGAACGTTTCTAATGAAAACATGGTTTAAGATGATAATAACATTTAAAATTTTGTATTATCATAACATAATAGCCATATGGCTATTATTATGTTATTATTATTATAGTAATTTCTACATTAAATCCGGATTTAGAGAAGCCATAAGCAGGAGTAATATAGTCTATCAATGGGCTCTAAATTATTATTCTTAAGTTTTACAAAAATTACATCATAATTTTGATAAAAAAGATAATGATATCTGAACCACATTCAAATAGAAGTTTAAAGACTCCAGTGACGTATACAAATAGGTTTAAAAGGGTTATTGCACCTCCCAAGTACCTATTTATTACTATAAATAGTATATTAATTTGGTTCTATTAAGAGTATCTCATAAACTAAAAAAAGAATGTCCCCCAAATAAAGTTGTTAGTTATGTCACTATAAGATTCCTTTGCTTAGAATTCCGCAAAATTTTCCACTAACACGGCATTTTAATTTTTTGATTAGTTGTTTAATTATGTTGTACATTATACATTTTTTTGTAATATTTTAGATGACTTTGAAGCTATTTCTACTGGAAAAAGAAAATATGTTGTTGAAGCTTAGATTAAGCACGATTGTCAAAGAATTACTTGCAATAAAAAATTTATCAGTTGTTTACAACGTGAATAAATTTTTTAATAGCGTTCCATAATTAATGTTTAACATTGAATATTGTTTTTAGATATAACGTTTCTGCTGATATATAGCTACTACTTTTTTAAGGCATTCTGTTAACAAGCTTAAGTAAAAAAACGTAATATTTCGAAATGAGACTAAATATTCTATTTGTTTGTAGTCTACACATCTAAATGAATTAATAGTAATGTTGATTTTAGTTAGTATGAATTTATAAAATAAAATTTTGAGTTTAAGCTTATAAATAAGTATATGTCATGAATATAAAATGTATAGCAGGTATTTAAATTCTATTTTTTTTTTTTTAATATGATAATTCTCCAAACGATAAGTAGATGTACATTGTATACCAAAGCATACTTTTAATCAACATAAACTATTTAGAGAAATAATTTGTTTTTTTTTATTTAGCTAGTGGTTCGGACTAAGGCACTATAAAGATAAGTATGTGCATCCGGCATTTTGATTTTAAGAATACTAGTAATTAGTATTAACATGAAATATCGCGCTGAAAACAATCAAAAATATTTAACTCAAAAAGCCACAAAACAAGGTCTCTGAGGAGGACCTTTTATAAAGGAGTATTTTAGGAGTGTTAGTTTATTATTAGCACTGATGATAGTGACATAGTATAGCGATTTTTTAATATTTTTTATGACTTTTAGGTTAAAAATATATAATATTTTTTAATTTTAAATTAAAATTTTAAGAAATATTAGCCATAAGAGATTAGTTCTTATTGTATAGATTACATAATAATATAAATAGATGCTAACAACCCAGAAAAACATTCCATGTTAACAAAAAAAATGTATTATTATTAACAATAAATTTTAATATCTAAAATCAATAAGGAAGTATTGTGATAATTGAAGTGTGGTAATAATAGAATTACTTTTTAAGGAAGATTATTATTTTTATTTTTTTGGATAGCATTTGCAAAGTGTAAATAAATTATTCATAATTAAAATTAATTCAGTAGAAAAAAATTTAGGAATAATAAACTACCAGTTTTTCATACCTCTTTAAAGTATTAGAAAATTATTATTTTTTAATCATTAATAAATAGTCATATTTAATATTATAATTTCTAGAATTTTAATTTAATCATTTGATAAAAAAAAAATATTTTTCCTGACCATTTTCACTAATAACAGTGGTTAGTCGGGACCACAATTTACTTCATAAATTTATTTACCACCGAATATGTAAAAACAACTCACACCACTGGTTTTTATTGATAGTGTTATCAATCAGTCTAATATTGATAAGAACAACATCAACCAAAATGATAACTATCATTAAAACAAACCAAATGATTGTAAAATTGACCAAATTATTGAGAAAAACTATTAAAAACAATCAAATTATTATAAAGTAGTACCACTTTCACACGTATTTTTTACAATTTAACTAAAATTTATTACTTTTATCTAGTGTGTTAAAACCACAATATTGAATTACAATTTTATCTATTTTAGCTACTTCAACATTAATTTAAAATATTATAACACATAATATTTAAAATATATGCTCTACAAAAATTAATTTTTCAAGTATAATGAACGACAAATTGGAAATAGCAGTTGTATGTTCCAGCAACATGAATAGGAGTATGGAGGCTCATGCATTCTTAAGGTAATTATAATCATTATTATAAAATGAGACAATCAAAAGAAAAATCTTGTTGGCATCCTGGGAATCTAATCCCAGACGCCGTGTGATAAAACTTACATCTCTACCCAATAGAACAAGTCAACCCCACAAATTATAATTCATGTATATTAAATAAATTTTAATTACATTATGTTTGTAGTTTTAATTTTTTTTAAATAACTTACTATGGTATTAACATTTTAAATTTCTTCTAATTCAAATATTTATTTTAGTAAAAAAGGTTTCAATGTTAGATCGTTTGGAACAGGTGACAAAGTGAAATTACCAGGAACAGCACTTGATAAACCAAATATTTATGATTTTGGATGTTCATATGATGAAATTTATAGAGATCTCTATAACAAGGATAAATCATAGTATCCTTTGGTTATTTAATAAATTTTAATATTTTACTACACATTATGTTTTTTAAGAATCTAAGCAATTCATTTTTCAAGTTATAGTTTTCCTTAGTAATGACTATCATAGTTATACCCAAAATGGATTACTCAATATGTTAGATAGAAATCGACGTATTAAACAACATCCTGAAAGATTTCAAGAATGCGATGAAAAATTTAATGTAGTCATTACTTGTGAAGAGAGAGTCTATGATCAAGTACTTGAATGTAAGTTATATTTTGATGATAATAAAAATGAGTTAAGTTAAGATATTTATTGTTTAATGACAAACAATTACCATGAAATTATACCTAGAGTACTTTTGTTATTGATTAAAAACATGAAATGGAAGCTTTATATTAAGAAATAAACAGAAATAGAGAAGTTAATGGAAATAATTAACTCAAGATAAGTTAAATAAAAACAATACTGTATAGTTAAAATTTAAAAAATAAATTTTAATAGTTAGTTAAAAATTAAAGTGAAAATTATTATAAGCTTAACTAAGTTAAAAAAAAATTATTAACTTTAAATCAATTTGATAATCACATAAAGGTGATATTTTTCTTTATGATATCCTTAATTATGAGTAATACTAATCATACTATGGAGACCAAATGCACAAGTTAAAAAATTATTCTCTATCTTTCACTCAAAATATTCAAAGAATTATATTTATTGTTATATAAATGTATTGTTTTATGTGGGAAAAATGTCAACTTAGCCCAGCTTCAATCTAAAGTCTATGATAAATATTTGTAATAATCAAAATAACATGAGGGCAAATTAGTAGTTTTAATAGTTATTATTTTATCAATTTTATGTACATTTTACATCAATCTATTTTAAAATTATCCTTTTTAATAAAAATAATAATAATATATATAATAATTTTGACCTAAAGAAGTTACTTTTATTTTTTAAATTTTTTTACAGTTTTGGACTACATGAAAAACATTTTTTTTATTTCTTATAAAGAAAAGAAAATGTTTAAATAGCCATTAAGCTTTTCTTACAAAAAAAATGTTGATGTGTCAATAAGAACCTTAGGATAAGTATCCATTGAATTATAATACATTTATTTTGAAATACATAGAGTTAGGGCTGCATTTAGGGTTGGGGTACTGGGTGAGATTAGCTCGGGTGGAATTAAAATATAAAGTAATATAAATTATAGATTTGTAGGCTTTTTTATTGCTTATTCAAATAAAATAAAAAGGAAAAAAATATGTTGGATGAGCAAAGGTCATTAGGGCCGGCAAAATTAAGTACGCCATGTATTACCCCTTTGTGTCTATGATATTTTATATACACTTTATAAATATACCATGCTTAACAAATTAATTAAATTATTAAAGTTATCATAAGAACCTTAATAATATTTTCCTTTTAAAAAGAATTTTTACTAATTATTTTAATGTTGGCTAAAAACATCCTCTTTGTCTAGATTTTGAGTCAATTTTAAGTTTTGGAAACAAACCTGTTCATATAATAAATATTGATATTCAAGATAACCACGAAGAAGCAACTATAGGAGCATTTTTTATATGTGAACTTGTTACATTGGTAAAATTTATGCTAACCAATATAGATGAACATTTTTAAAAATTTTATTATTACATTTCAGTTATCTCGAAGTGATGATTTAGATAATGATATAGACCAACTAATAGTAAAGTATGAAGAAAAATGTCAAAGATCACTATTTCATTGTGTTCTCTTTTATTGATATACTATTTCAAAAAACTGTGCTTGATAGTACAGTGCTGTAAAAAATTCTATGTATAAAACATTAATTTACTGTATAATTACTTATATTATAATAAAATTGCCTGATTAACAAATATTTTTAAATACTTGTTATATTTATTAAAAATCATCAATTTAAAATTACAAACATTATATAAAAAGATATGAATACCAGTATGGAGACCGGGGGTCTATTTTTGAGCTTGCACTAATCATTGACAAATGTTTTAGTACACTAAAACATTAGATTACAATTTTAGTGCACTAATGGAAATTCGTATTTTTGAATTTTATTTTTTATCAGTCTAAATATAAATATATATTTACTTCAATTTATTTATGTTATAACATATCAAAATGTTTTCAATTGAAAATAGCATTAATATTTTTATTAATTAAATTATTAATCATTAATAAAAAAAACTAAATTTTTGATGATTTAATAATTGGCATTCAAATTTTAAAACAGTATTTCTATATAAGTTTCATAATCATTCCAGTTACTTTTAATATTTGTGGTCATTGGTTCTAGTAATATCCTTTTTAGTTACTTATGTATTTTGAAAATTTTATTTGATAAATATAATTGAATGGTCAAAAACGTTATATGAAATAGAGCTTACAAAATGTTTAATTAGATATAGTAATTAGTAATTACAAATATATTATATAGTATTATATTAATTGATATATATTTAATTATTGAATTTTTATAATTGTAAAATTATAATCAGCTAAGTAATTTTCATTTAAAATTGACTTTAAATACCAATAAAATTATTATATATTCTTTCTTAATAAAAAATCTTTTCTAAATTCTTTGAAGCTGAAAATAAGTGACCTACAATATAACAACTATAATTTAAAGAATAGGACAATTATAATTGTTATTTTTTTTCTTAATGAACTTTGTGAATAATGAAAATATGACAAATCTAAAAACTTATCATTATGTTGAATTTTTTTTTTTTATATTATTGCGTTTTTAGACTTACAAAATATATTATTTTTAAATTATTATAAAAGTATTTTGAAATCTAATGAAAAATCTTAGAATTTCGTATCTTTTGTATCTAAATTTCAAGATCTATATGAATTGTGAATTTGAATATAAAATAACTTCAATAATATTGTGAGGTCTTTTTGACTGCGTTTTTTTAAGTTTTTTGTTTAAATAATTAGTTTAATCATTGCAGCCGAAAACGTTTCAATTAGTTGTTGAGCTTTCGTCGAGTAATTAGCGCTCCTAGTGATTTACTCAAGTACATATCAATACTTTTTAATCAAGTGATAAGCAGAGTCCTGACACCTTAACGAATCCGTCTTGTTAAGAAATTAATTCTAGTGAGTGATAACTGACCAAAAACGTTTCTTAAAGTTTTCATTTTTCTGTTACTTATTATTTAAAGAGAAAGTTCTATAATAAATTAGCAATGAAGTTAAAAATAAAGACTTATATTAAAAGTCTCTATTGACATTTATCTTAATACTTTAACGCATCATTGGTAGGTAGAAACTTCAGATATCATTAAGATGAAATAATTATTTAAAACAAATATAAATCTATTATTTTTATTTCATTAATATATATTAAGTTGTTAGTACATAATTTAAAATATTTACTGATTTGCCCTAATCATTTTTAAAATTAAAATTACTTACTATAATATTTAATTATATTATAATACTAACATATCTGTTAGTAAATTTAACAGTGGGTAATAAAAGAAAAAAAAATTTTTTTTGAACTATTAATAAAGTTAATCATTAATATGTTTCTTATTATTATTTATTTTAGAATTTCTTATATGTAAATATATTTTTAAATTTATACTTTTAGAAAATGAGCCCTGAAAAAAAAGCATGGATTAAACCATTTTTTCAAGATAAGGTTTCATCAATACCTAAACCTACAGTAAATAAGCAACCTAAACCCATAAAAAATGTTAAAAGACAGCATTCACAAAGCAATTGTGTTAAATCAAGCTGGTGTGATAAATATGCTCCTCAAAATGTATCTAACTTGGCAGTTCACTCTGGTAAAATAAAAGAAATAAAACAGTGGTTTGGTAGCCTGAAAAATTGTAGATCAAACAAATTCCTTCTTGTAACTGGACCTTCAGGTTGTGCCAAAGCAACTACAATTCGTTTAGTAGGCAAAGAATGTGGATTTATGTGTGTGGAATGGGTAACACCTATAACAATTGACTCTATTTACGATCAATGTAGTGAAAACTTTTATTATGAAAGTGTACAAGATAAATTTCAAGATTTTATATGGGGTGCCACTAGATATAAAAGTCTTAATTGTAACAGTTCTAATGGTCAGTTTTTATTAATCAAAGATTTACCAAACATATTCTTAGATAAACCAGATGAATTTCAAGATATTATGACAAGGTTTAACACAGTGTCGTCATTTCCTATAGTTTTTATTATTAACAATGAAAAAATTATAAGAGATTTGTTTCCTAATGAAATATTTGAGAAACTTCAAGTGAAGCAAATAAAATTTAATCTTGTTACAAGAAAATCAGTATTATCTGTTCTTGAACAAATAGTTAAGGCTGAAAAACAAAAAAATTCTCTCATAAGATTACCAAGTACTTCTGAAATGAATAACTTATATGATGAAACTAATGGTGATTTAAGGTCCTCAATCATAAATTTAAGCTTTCTTTGTATGAATATCCAAAATAAAATTACTAAAACTTCTCTTAAGTCTAAAGATGAAAACCTTGATTTATTTCATTCAGTTGGTAGGGTCATATACCCTAAAAAAGAAATAGTAAAGTCTCCTCTCCAGTTTAAGTTTACATATAATCCAGATTATATTGCTGAAAATTTTGCAATGCAACCAAATACTGTTTTAGGTTTTCTCCAAGAAAACTATTTATCTCGTTTTTCAAATTTAAATGATGTGTGTGAAGGAGCAGATGCGATAAGTGTTGCTGATGTTATTATGAATTCAAGTTTCAAATTTGGTGTATCTATTTATGAAATTAGTCTATCTTCACTATCAGTAGCAGTTCGTGGACTTATGCTAGCTAATAAAAATCCTATTAAAACATTTAGAGCTATTATTAAGCCTAAACATTTTCAATATAATAACGATGTACAAATTTATAGGGATGTAAGAGAGTGGTATCATGATTCACATGAATCACCCAAAGATATATTGTTAGATATCATGCCATTTGTAAAAGCACTAGGAACTAACCAACAAAAAGATATTGCTCTTGAAAGGTGGAACTTCAAAAAACATTTTTGATGTCCATAAATATTTACAATGATTAAAAAAAAAAATCACATTTGATTTGTTATTATTGTTAAATTTAAATAATTGTTTACAAATTTTCTATCAAAATATAAATAGTTTATTATACTACTATGAATTTGTATTTAAATATGGTAACCGATGTGAAGATCAGTTTATCAAAATAATGAAACACTAAAAAATAATTGTATATTTACTAATGCATTATTTTTACATAAATTTATCAATTAAAATAAAAATTATTTAAAATACATCACAACATTTTAAGATTAGTGTAAATTAATATCCTTTACGTCCTCGAAATCTTTGTCTGTTATCCAACTAAAAAAAAAAAATGATTTAAACTAACACATAATTTATATTTAAAACATAATTTTTATTTAAACTTCATAATTTTAGGAGATTATAACTTAATATTTATAGTAGAAGTCACAAATGCAATTATCTAGGGGGATGCATTAGTAGGTCCAAATGTAAGGCATAGATAAAAAGCAATAGTCAACAATAGTCTCTTTTTACTAAAAAAAAATAAAGTTTTTAAATTGGGCCCCACAATATCTAGCATTGGCATAGAGTAATAACAGTATAGATATAAGTAATATAAAAAAATCTTTTAAGTGTAAACTTTTTCAATCTACAAAACTATCAGCCTTAAACTAAATATAAATATCTACTTACAATGGATCTTTTGCATTCAAAAAATGTATTTTGTAGAGCTATGCATTCTGGGGGACAATTTTTTTCTCTTAGACACTCTCGTGGCGTTTTCTTTTCCTTTTAATCAAATAGAAATTAGTTGAGTTTATAAATATTGAATTATAACTCACAATTTTACAACAGTCAGATTCCAATAGACACATTTTTAAATCTGCTCTTATTCCAGCACACGGCTTATGGTCCATAAGATCACCTTCTTCATAACGCATCATTTTACCAGTAAATTTTTCTCAACCACTAATTTTACGTCACTATTTCAAGTAAAAAAATAATTTAAAACTTATAAATACAACGACATTTAAAAATATATCAATGTAGATCTTTAAATTACTCAAGTAAAATTGAATGTATTTGTGGTCTGATAATAGCGTTCATAAGTGATAATAGTTGATAACAATTATCAAGTTTTCTTTTAAATGTAAATTGTATTATAAATATCGTCTTATACTATGTAATCACGTTTATTCAGACAGGTTTGGCATTTTGGATAATCAGTTGAATTGTTATTAATAGCGTTCGGGACGATGTTACATGACGTATTCAAGTTGAAAATATCTAAAATAGCTAATTCTCAATAAATAGATAAACTACATTAGAAACTTAAAATAATTTTTTCAATTGAATTTTTATAAGTATAAGAATATATTAAAGACTTGCTTTTACAAAGTGATACAAATTATTACAAAAATTAAACAAATAATTCTTCAATTAAATGACATTTTATTTTACATTATGCAGTGTTATTGTCTAAGTGGTGTTAATTTCGTGGTGAATCAAAACTATTTTCAATATTAAAATTCAGTAATAACTTAATTTATTGATCCTTAATAATTTAGTCGTACAATCCCTTTTATATTTATCTTGTTGTACAAATCATTATTAATCGTTCATTATAAATTGTCATCGTGATAAGAAGCCGCCCAGCTGATCACTTAAATACTGTCAACAATTTAACCAGTCCCAGGTGTCTGTCAACTATGCATGCAATGGTGTCGACGTTTTTTCCTTTCCGGATCATTATGTGTTGTCGCCGTCAAGTGGTCTGGCGGTTTTGTTTTTTGGTCAGTCGCCTAATCCATATCTCCAGTCATCTACTGATTGTTTCTTTTGTATACTTAAAATTTCCATGGCTTTTTAAACTATACTAATGGCCCTGGCGATCGAGCTGTGGATGGAGACACGTTCGTTGGCTACGGCTTGTACATCATTGTATTATGATTGTGGTAACTTTTGTACAACATCACTTTCTTTCGTCCATTAAATTTTTCTATATTCGTGCATTGTCACGAGGTTTTCTTTGAACATGTTTCGTCATTAAATTAACATACTTTAATTATTTTAATATGATTATTCTATTCTATCCTATCTTTCTGACACATTCTGCTCATTGACTATTCGTAAATCAATTAATTTTAAAACATCAATTTCTTTCGTACATTCGTACATTAACTATTTTGTAATGTCTAGTGTAAAAAAAACCTCGCATGTGTTTGACCAATATAGACGTGTTTAGCAGTCTTAAAGTTCGGTATAAAAGGCCTACATCCTTATTGACCGATGTCAAATTGGTCGTTTGAGTATTATTGCAATGATAACCATTTTGTTACATTAAATATTACTAAATACACTCCTAGTCCTTGGTCCAATAGAACATAGTCAAAACAGCAGTATCAGAGATTATTTTTCTCTATTTATTTTATTTGTCCTTGAGATCATTTAATAATTTGTAATAATTTTTTTATCATGAATTTAAATAGGTATTAATATAAAAGAATTTGTAACTTTGGTTTTATAATTTGATCTATGTATTTGACAAGAAGAATAAATTAAAGATTCTAGCAAACGTATTATTTGCATAGTATGAACAAATAATTTATATAAAATAATAATCAACAAAAATATTTTTTAATTTATTTTGAATTAGTCTATTAAGTAAAAAAAGTCTTCAAAAATAGTACTTATTTATACAAAAAAAACTTTGTTATAATTGAACCTTTTTGTTCTCAAAAAAATTATAAAATAATTACTGAGGAAGAGGTTTTATAATTATAATAATTAATTATGATATTGAAATAATTTCCGCGCATCTATTTAATAAGTATTAACACGATTAGGGTTGCAAAGACCTCAATTAAAATTCAATTAGGTTCCTTTTATCTTCGATTCGAAACTGAGTAGGTATTAATTTGACAATGATGATACCTAAGGTAATGATATAAAAAAAATGATTTTGATTCATTTAGATTTAAAAAAGTTGCCATACCTGTAAACTGTCATAGTTTAAAGAATAAAAAAATAAAAAAATGTCAAAATTTACTAATTTCTAAAATCAAATTTTTTTGTAGGATTTTCCTCATTTACAAGAAATAAGGGAGTTTTTAAGGGCAATGACTTCAATCAGATATGATTTGTGTTCTTTTGAAAAAAATTGGTAAAAGCTGAGATAAAATGGCGACAGACATAAAAAAAAATTATTAATAAACACATTATAGTAGATTTAATACCTTCTTAATTTTGCAACGAAGCTAAAATTTACAAATAATTTTGTTCTTATAATTTTTTTTATCGTATCAACCACCATTAGTTTTTTAAAATAGTTTTAAGATTCGGATTCTAAGTAGTAAATAATCTGTTTTAATGGGCCATAATTTATTATTATTACTTCTGTATACAAAACAGTAGAATAATAATAGAAATTTGGTTTAAAAACGTTTAACTTTAACAAGCTGAAACTGACAAACGGTTGATCGGATAAAAAAATTATGAGAACAAAATTGTTTGTAAATTTTTTTTCTATCATATTCTTAAGTTAAAAATAGGGTTTCTCATTTAAAAAACTTAATGTTATGATTTTTTATACCTGAACTAATGAAAAAATAATTATTTAACTACATATTATTCTATAGTTTTTTTAAACAAACAATATTTGACTTTACAAAAATTACAATTTTCAAAAGTTTCTGAGAACATGAGTATCCTTAATGAATCTGTCTGTATATGTATTAGTAATACTAATGTGATGGTGTTACGTTACCATTGTTGTGAAAAATTATTATAATAAAATACCGACAGTGCATCCACTTCTAGAGACTAATAAATAGACGATTAATATTTATTGCAAAATTGGCAATCGTCTGAATTACTTAATCCATAAGACCTGGCCATCGAAGTCAGTCGATTCCAATGCTTTGTATCATTCATCAGTCTCAGTACTCGGTTGTCGCCGTCCGGCTTACTACATAAAGTCAAGTCTTTGTTTTTCCTTTTTTACTTACCTACTCTAGTCCTCGACATTTCAGAGTACTTATGTCTTGTACTTCGTCTGCACCTCGTACTCTGTTATCTTCCTTACCTGGTACGCCAGGAGCCCAGAGTATGAGGTGCAGACGAAATGCAAAACACAAATACTATAGTATAAATTGCATATTTTTCGATTTGATGTTAAATTATGTTATGCTCGCGCGTAAAAATGTATCATTTAAATAAAGAGGTTCTAGGACTACAGAAGACGCCAGCAGGAAGCAAACGTGTAATTTAAAACCTCTATTACAACTTGTAGAAGTGCGCCAAGTTTCATACACAACCAGGCGTTTAATGGAATTGTCTTGTTCGTGTTAACGCCATATTCTATAGAAGACATTATATGTTTGTGCATACAAACCTAAACATCGAAATTTGAGGTCTATTCAAAAAATATTCTGCATTTTTATAGGCATATCTAATAAACAATCATTGATAACTAGTATGTTATGTAACATAAAAACAAAAAATTAGTCTTTATAAAAATTTAATGATACACAATTTATTTTAAAGTTCTAGTGATACTATTAATAGATTTAGACAATAATTTGGTAACTTACGTTTCATAACTATGATAGTTTTGACATTTTAGTTAAAAAGTGTGTATTTTCTAAAAGCTCAAATTATTATAAGAGAACAATGGATACAGTAATATAAAGAAGGTGTATTAAGTCACAAAAAAAAATTTAATCAAAAGTAATTGATTTAATAATGAAAAATTATTTCTGTATTTTTTATAATCATGCAAGTCATAAAAATGAGTTGCTTTACAATTGCAATTATCCTATTTAAAAGAACATATTTTGTTTTTTTTTTGAGGGGGGAGGGGCATATGTTAGTAGCCTGCTCGAGACCGCCCATTCAAACTGTATTTTACCTTAGAGACCGTGACCAGTAGGCTACATTTCATCAGACGAGCATCAATTCTCGATCGCACATCCCATAATGAGTACAATATCAAAACATGTTCTTTTAAGGTAGGTTTTATTAAAACTAACCTACTTTGTAAAATTAATTCAATATATTGGTTTGATAATTAACATTTTAAAAATAGACTAAAATACTACTTCTTTATTTTTCTAGTCATACCAGTTTTTAAAACAAAAAAACTTCTCATAAACATATAAATTTATTAAAAACAAATATAGTAACAAAAAATTTTTAGAGAAATAAAAACAAATGTAAGAAAAAAAAATGTATAACAATAAAATAAATTAGGCAAAAGGCAAGAAACGAAATGTGTACAGTTCGTATTTTTTTCTTTGTATATAAACAAAATATAAAATAACGATAATTTAATGATTTTAATAGGGATGATAAAAGGAACGTAAAGTTTTAAAAGTTTAACAAATTTGATTACATGAAATAACTTGGGGAGGTAACTCAATTAAAAATGTTCTTCGACACTGTTTGATAGATTATAAAATAATTTTAAACTTTTAAAATGTTATTCGTGTTCTGAATGTTCTTTAGAATCAGAATCAGAACTAGAATCGGAGCTAGAATCAGAACTAGAACCAGAATCACTACTAGAATCACAACTTGAAGAAGAATCACTACTAGAATCAGAACTTGAATCAGAATCACTACTAGAATCAGAACTTGAAGAAGAAGAAGAATCAGATTCAGAATCAGAATCGTCCGAAGAATTTATTTTTGAAATCTTTAAGACTATTCTGTCTTCCAATTCATCAGGTTGGGCCAAGTAAATCTCAACGCTACTCGAGTATTTGAGTCTATTCGATGATTTACATGCGTCGAGAGCGTCTGTAGACCGTGTTGTGTTAGAGAAAAGTCCTGTTGAATTTTAAGAAATAAAAATGCGAATTAAAATATTATTATTATGAATGTTTTCATTAAAGTGTATAAATCATTTTTTTACCATCGCAATCATAGTCAGTTTCTGAATAGTCTTTATTTTTCGATTCATCGTCTGAATCATATGTTGAAGATGTGGCCCTTATTTTCAATACTACTCTATTTTCTTTGTATTTACTCGAATGAAACTCCACACAGCTTGAGTATTTACACCTCTTTGGTGGCTCATATCCATCAAATGTATTTGCCCTTTTCAACGATTGTGAACTATTACATAGTTCAGTCGACTTAACCGAATTAGTAGGATGTATATCCATATTTTCGTAACCTGATAAATATTAACAAATTAAGCATGACTATTATTGTAAAAAATAACAAATATAGCCGATGATTAAAACAATTTTATTTCATACTTTTTTGACGTTCAACTACATAAGTCTCATCGTCATGTTCGACATTTCTTTTCGTAGATGATTCGTCAAATTGTGTTGAAAACAGTTCTACGAGTATTTCGTGAGGGTCCTTCCAATAAGATGCACGTGATCGGTCAATTTTTTCTATTATTTCTTTGGCGAGCGGTTCATAGTTTTCTACTGAAACTGCATTGGATCGAGTAGATTTGCGGTACGAACGCTTAGGCATGTCTTTTGCTGTAGTTTTAATATTGGATTCAATTTTAGGATTGTCACTCAAACACTTATTTTTATTGACAGGAGCCTGTTTCTTAAACGGAATTGTAGGTTTTCCACGCAATTTTTTGAGTTGGGCAAACATTTTTTTAGTCTTCGTGTTCATCGTTACAAATAATTTTAATAATTAAAACTTGAAAATGTCAACGACGTTAGTTTTGAGAATAATTAAAAAAATTGATGATAATGTTGAAAGTCAAAAAATTCTCAAAGTTAACCTGAGAGTAAAAGTGTTTGCTAATTTACAAATAAACAATTTTATCCATAGAAACTATTAACAGAAAACTTAATTAAATATATTTTTTTAAATATTTGGAAACGTACAAAAATTGCTTGTTTATTTTTCTTAGTAACATGTATGAAACAGCATTAATTGAACNGTTTATTTTTCTTAGTAACATGTATGGAACAGCTTTAATTGAATAATAAAGTGCTATGTATTAGTAGATTATTTCATTAAAATTTCAATTTAATATTTTGTGATTATGTAAAAAATTGATTTATAAAATAATTTAAATACAATTCTTTTGTCTACAATCAAATAATTCGTGAAAAATCTAGACAAAGGGAGTTGCTTTTAAACAGCCGTATTATCATAAATTTTCAAAGAAAAGGAAAAACCCAATTGTTTAAACCATGTGGACTTTATGTAAAATTTAATTAAATTTTTCCATCGGATTTTTAAGATATGGTTTAACTACATTTTCTCGAAAAAAATAAAAAAGTGATTTTTGTGAACTTGATAATTATTTCTTGTAATTATGTAGGTATGTTGAATATAATGAGAGGACCAGAACAGGATTTAGGATTAGAATAGTATACTATTGTAACATTACTCATGTTTTTTATGTATTTTTGAAACATTGCAGAAATTATATATGGAAAAAATGCCTTTTAGTTATAAAATAATTCATTCTCGCTTATATTTTTCCATTTTCCAACACTAGGTAGATATTGATCTAATTTTTCTTCTTCAGTTTTTACTCAAAATATGATACATGACAATTTTTTCTCGAGAGTCTGTAATACCATTGATATTCATTCGTGATCTCTATCAATACTAGTAGTTAGATTAGTGTCCATAATAACCAATTGTTTTAAGAATTTTTATTTACATTAGGAATTTCTGTCAACTATTAATATTAAAAACCCAGCACAGTGGGGTCGCGGCATAGTGGGGATGTTGCATAGTTGGGTCCAGTATAGATTTAATCTGACAGTGATTAAAATCACTATCATAAGAAACGCTTCGATGCAAATCAGTAGATAGTGTTTAATTCTAAGAAATTGGTGGATAATTACAAAAGCTACATTATCTGCTAGTTTCTTATTAATACCCTGATTAAGATAAAGTATGTCGAATGAAAAAGGGATTATTAAAAAATATTATTTCTCATAAAAAAATTGTGTTGATTCGTACACTTTTCAATGAGTTATAGCATTATAAAGTTAAAAATGTAACCAACCCAACCCAACATCAACTCCTATTTCCTTAATTATATCCAGATTAGTAATTATTTTAATTATATATTATATAATTTTTATAATTAATTATTTTCAAATTATTATTGATTTTTAATATGTTAAAAGTAATCATTTTGAACCTACTTCTTTTTGTTCTTTAAAGTGAAAGTTTTAATAAAAAAAAAATGAATTTATTACCATAACTTTTAACTCAACTTGCAAGTTTGAAATAAATATTATTAAATAGAAAAAAATGAAATTGGTAGATTATTTCAAAAACAACAATAACACTTATTCCCTTAATTTTACCCCGATTTATAACTATAATATATGAATACATAATAATTACAGTAATTAAATTGAGTATGAAAGTGGTATTCAATAATATAATATTGTAATTTTTACGGAGATATTATAAAAATAAAAAGGAGTTGTATATTCATATACTTTTAATGCGTATACAAATTTAAAGGAATTTATGCAATACTTTTTAATAAAAAAATTTTGTTACTTATGAATAAATACACTAAACAAAAGGAACTTTCATCAGAAAAAAAATATACTTTTCTAAATAAACTTTTCGTGATGTTTTCAAATGTGCAATTAAACTTTTTCTATTACTTCTAAGTTTTAATATTATTACTTATTATTAAAAAATAAGTATTTACATATAAAAAAAAATAATTAAGAACAAAAAAAATTGTATTAAATTAATACTGATTTTGATTTTTAATATGTTAAAGGTAATCATTTTGAACCTATTTTTTATTGTCTTTTAAAGTGAAAGTTTTAATGAAAAATACCTTCTCAGCTTCGCATCGAAGCTAAAAAATGAATTTGTTACCATAACTTATAGTTCAACTTGCAAGTTTGAAATTGACATTATTAAATTGAAAAAAATGAAATTTTTAAGATTAATATGCAATCTGGAAATTTTATAATTACTAATTACAGTACATTTGTCAGAAAAATTCGATTTTTTTACATTTTTATCGTAATAGATAACTGAAATAGAAAGAATAGTAATCATATCCTAATAACTTTTGGTGTTTAAAAAAATTCTGCAATTGAAATATTCAGAACTTAATTAATTTTAATAATTTACTTTAATTAAATGAACCAATCAAACCAAAGTAGTTAAAAAGATTTACTCAATTGAGCATATTATCAAAAATATAATTATAATTGTAAAACTCCATCGTTAACTTCAGGTGAAACTAAAAATCATTTTTTTTTTAAATTTATGATTTATATAGCAACATATTACTAAAAAATTTGGCATATTATAGACTGGTAGTAGCACACAGAAATAGAGTTAAAAAATTAATAAATTATAAAGTAAAATTATTTACTTTTGTAGTTGAATACTTTTATCATATCAAATTTAATTCGACAATAAATAATTTAAGAATATTAAAAATTAATGATTTTAATTGTTTGTATGGACAAATCTAGTTAAGCTACTTTTTATTTGAATAAGGAATATTTTTTTGATTTTTAAGAGTAATAACTTAAACTAATCATTAACTTAAATATCATAAACTTAAATGAATCATTTGACGTATCGTTGAAAAAAGTAGGTCTAGTGAGGGTTGGCAAAATAAATCGTAGCCAGAAAAAGAACCACATAGTAAAATAATATTAACATGAATATCAATTTCTTCTCACGAGGGGAGACTATAGTGATAAGATCCTTTATATTTATTGAAATTATTGAATCTAAATGAGATAAATATCAAATGATTTGAAAATTCTATTCTAACTCAAAAAAAAAATGCAAAATTTTAGAAGCCACAAACGGATTTGAACCTCGTACCCTAGGCGTTAAAGATCAAGGTGTTACCCATTCGGCAACTATTCGTTGATTTTTGTTGCATGATAAAATTGGCTATTTAAGCTAACTCAAATTTAAAAATTACTTTTTCGACTTTAAAAAAGTAAAAAATGTTAATAAGTATAATATCATATGTCTTATGAACTTTATTCTATGTCAATGAAATTATATAATATTCATGAAAGTCAGTTTATTCCCCTAATAAAATATTTTAAAATAAAATAAAATACAAAACCTAGAATTTTAATAAAAAATAGCATATTTTTAAATACGGTAGCCTTTTGCGCATAGAAGATAGGTCGTCGGGACAAATTTTTTTTTTTCATTTAGTAGTACATAAAATAAGCTTTAATTTGATATATGTTTAAAGGACGCAGTATTTCCGGAACATTTTCAAAAATTAAGTTGAAAAAGTTAGTTTTTGTAAAAAAGTTGCTATTTTAAATCCCCCCTGTGAGCAGAATAAGTGTTAGATTTTCAAAAAAAAATGATATCAAATGAAAGAAAATTACCTAAGGTTTCAATATAAAGAAATATTATTTTGATTAGTTAATATTTGAAAAAGTTATGGCAGTTTTAAGTACAAAAAACATCGTTATAAAAGGTGATTTTTATCGCAAATATTACATTTTTTTTATAATTTCGACAGCCATTTGCACATAGAAGATAAGGTGTCGGGACAAATTTTTTTTTTTCATTTTATAGTACATAAAAAAAGCTTTAATTTGATATATGTTTAAAGGACGCAGTATTTCCGGAACATTTTCAAAAGTTCAGTTGAAAAAGTTCTATTTTTTATACAATGTTTCAAAGTTTGAACCCCCCCTATATAAGGGGAAATTGTCTAATTTTAATAAAAAGTATGTCAAATGGAAGATGTACTTATAATGTATTTAGAAAAAAAAAAATTGTGCTGATACATGCATTTTTCGAAAAGTTATAGCATTTTTAAGTTGAAAATTAAAAATTGAAAATCGAAAATTTTAACACAAAAATAGTGTTTTTTTAACTACGGCAACCGTTTACATGCAGAAGATAAAGTGTCGGGACAAATTTTTTTTTTTCATTTTATAGTACATAAAATAAGCTTTAATTTGATATATGTTTAAAGGACGCAGTATTTCCGGAACATTTTCAAAAATTAAGTTGAAAAAGTTAGTTTTTGTAAAAAAGTTGCAATTTTAAATCCCCCCCCATGAGCAGGTTAAGTGTTAAATTTCCAAAAAAATTATATCAAATGAAAGGAAAATATCTAAGGTTTTAGTTTAAAAAAAAATTATGTTGATTTGTTGATTTTTGAAAAAGTTATGGAAGTTTTAAGAAAAAAAAGTGAAAAAAATGACAAAATTTGTCGATTTTTAAATTTGTAATTTTTTTGGATATTTCCCCCATTTGCGGGGAACGAGGGAAAATTTTTAAATTTTTAAGGGTAATGTCTTCAACTAGATACAATTTGTGATCTTTTGACGTATTGTTAAAAGAAATCGGTCCAGTGAGAGCTGAGAAAAAGTAGTGACAGACACAAAAAAAAAAATAAACACATCATGGTAAAATTAATACCTTCTCAGCTTCGCATCGAAGCTAAAAAAGAATACGTTTTATAACTGATATTTCTAATAATTCTGCATTTCAAACATTGTAATAAATGTTACAAGGAACAACTTAAATATATGAGATATTTAATTTAAGCAAAAAAAAAAATATTTAAGTGTATCAAAGTAGAAAATTTAATTAAATGTAATAGTAACATTGAAGAATTTTATAGAACAACAATTTTGATTATGATTTTCCAACGGAAAATAAACAATTATTTACTAATAATACTTCTTTAAAAGTAAAAATAGTTATTTTAAACTCAAGAGGGCGAAACATAGCTTTTTCCCGAATACTACATCAATAACGGTACAGTTGGTCTTGCATTGAAAGCATTGAAGATGCTGAAACTGTCTATGTAATAATCATTTATTACATAGACATATTTAATGCGTTTATATTTAAATGTATTTAAGTAAACTTGTGAATCAGATATCGGTAAAATTCATCATATCGATTTACTCTAATTTGTACTATTATAAAATAAAATATTTTACAATGGCAACAAAAAAAAACACACTTGCGTTATTACAAATTTTTATTTTATAAAACATGTAATATTTTATATAAATATTTCTTTTATAAATTTTAATGTAATTTCAATATTATATATTACGTATTTGTAAATTAAATACTTAAAAAAATACAATACGTTATTTTAAAGAATGATGATATATGTTTGGGTGTGCTATGAACTCAATTTAACCCCTTCTATTATTATGTTTAATAATCTATGTACAAAAATGAAAGTTACTTTTTTTGTTAATTAATACGATGTTTCTTTATTATGAATACTTCATAGTAACAAAATTATTTATATTGATTAAAAAAATGATTTCAGAGACAACAAAATTGTACATAATCATATAATAAAAATTGAACGATATACTCCTGTACATCCACACAGTCTTGCTTTGAGAGCCGGTAGTAACTTTGCTATCGACGTAAAGTCTTGAAGTAAATTTGAACATTCACACATCAATACATATTGTTTATCGCCATTTGATTGTGATTTGTGCAACGTAATTCTCCTAAGACCGGTAGATTTAGGTAGATAATTATATATCATGCGAGCACCTATATAATAAATTGGAAAACCTGAGTTTTAAGAACTGAAAATATCAAAATTTAAATAATTAGACCTGTCCAGTAGAGCCAATGTTTTTCAAATTTTTCACTATCATCACCATCGAAAACTTTGTATACAGAAATTATGTAAGCCGTATGGGAACCTCGAGGCCTTTTGGTCTGACTGATAGGAGGGCAAACAATGTTGGCGACTTCGGTGAAAAGATCAAATGTATGATCTGTTGTATGTTTAATAGCTCGTGGATCAAACTTTTTGAGAGTTGTATTCCGTACGTTTACTGCCACCTCACGCGGATTTGATACAGACGATTTATTTAAAACGTAGTATGTGATAAACGGAAAAACTGCTATACTATGCGTAATTAAGACTGATATGAATTTTTAATCTATAAATGTAAACAGTTAAATGGTAATCATTACCGTCTTTTTCTAAATTGGCTAACAACATTCCTTCTGATGCAACTTTTGTTCCGGCTATTTCATTAAGCAGCGAACAAGCAGCAGCCGTTTGTCTGGCCATAGGGTCTGATAAAGGAGATTCCAAAATTGGATCAATTGGTTCTAAAATTGTCATCATGTGAAACATGAGACAAGTCTTTGGGTCATCGACTTCAACCATATTCAAGGAATTAGGTTTGTTTATACTTGGTGAGATAGGAAGCTAAAATTTTAATAATCTTTAGAAATTTCATTTATTCTATTATTTTTTAATTTAACTATTGTAACATACGTTTACTCCATCGGGAAGAAACCTATCAAGGTAGGCTATTGGAATAATAAAGCAATCTTTATCCAAGTTAGAAATACTCGCAGAGTCGACTTTTCTAACATGTAAAGGCATTTGTGGACTAGTACCAGTTGGTGTGTTTGGCTTAGAGTACGAACCGTGACGACCTCTGCAACCCTAAAAAAAAGTAACCAAAAAAAAAAATATATATTTAGTAAATAGCGTATCCAACCCATTTTTATGAATAAGTTCTCATTTGAGCTTATTCATAAAAAGACTTTTATTTTATTTTGATTAAACTAAAACACCGGATAAGACACTGATTGCATAGCAAAATTATCATTACTTCCATTAACAGTCTCTTTAAAATTCCGCAATTGTCAATTTAATTTTTGGATAAGACTTTCTATGAGATGTGTATAATCAGTTCTAAATTTTACAAAGAATCAATTATTGTTTTAAAAATAATGGTAATGGATTTACTAAATGGAATAAATTAATTATTGTCAAGTATATGTAATACAGTCAATATAAAGATGTAATACTAGTCATAATAGAATATTATTTTAAAAAATAAACTTTAATTTAATAAGCTTGTAACCTTGACATAATATAATGGACATATTAATACATTATTTTCAAGGAATTACAAAATATTTATACAAAAAACTTTTGTTTTACATAAAAACCGTCAAGGTTACAGCATTACGCCAGTCTTCTAAATTATATATTGATAATATTAAAAGAACATAAAATGTTGATATTATGTATTGTATATGTTAATGTTAAATTTCCAAATTATTTCATAATATTAAGATAAAAAACATTTGAGTAACATCAAATACTATTCAGGTGGCGAGCATTCTTTCGTCTTACCTACACTAATAATAAAGTGAATAATAATTTGTAGCTTTTTATACGACGGTCTACATGTACTTGGATTTTTATAAATAGTCAACTTTTAGGAGATTTATTTGTAGAAAAAAAACTTTTTAAAAATACAGAAATACCTAATACATCTTTCCGATATCCATTCAAGTCCTACAATAAGTGTCCACAAAAAAATGCTTATTTACGCTCTTATCTCTTAATCCAAAATTCAACAATAATAAGTTCTGCTTGATATATAGATTATAAATTTTCAATAAAAATAAATTTTATTAAGATTATGTAAACTTTTATAATTTGTCATGCTAACCTTGTCATTTGTTGTATTATTTGAATTAGCAACATTGATAAAAGAATTGGTACCATTGGAAAATGAAGGAGTATTAGAAATAGTATCTGCTTTACCGGTTGACTGTTTTCTTCGAATCCATCGTATTAGTGGAACTGCTGAGGTCTGTTTAGGAGCTGTTAAAAGTGGTGGCCCAACAAAGTCTTCGAATTCTTGAGGAAAGTTTGCATGGCCTAGTAGAATGTGAGTTCTAAATGGGCAAGTGTGATCGGGATCAGCCATTGCCGAACACCTGTATTTTCAAAATATCAGTTTCGAAAAAACTATTTTTATTAATATAAACATTAAGTTGGTAAAATATTATAAAGATAAAAGAATTTTTTCCTAAGTTGTAGAATATTTTCACTTGAAATTGTAATAAATAAAACCTTTTTTTCCTTCAACATTAATTTCTATAACTGTTCTTACAGCTTCCAATTCCTCTCTCCTCATAAATAAAAATTAATTTGTTTGTAGATATATTATTTGAAACATTACAAAATATTTTCCATCATATTTTACACAATTTATATTTTCATATAATTTAAAAGTTTACAAAAATGTATTCTATATGATATAGATCTAATTTGAATATTATTAAAATACACAATAAAAATCTTAATTATCACATGTAAATAAAATGAAAATTTAATTTTCAATTTATATTTTTGTCCACGTGAGAGAGATTTTACGCTTTAATTTTTTCTTTGTTACGCTACCGAGATAAGATAATATACTATAAAAATATTTTTGAATTAATTCATCACTGCATTGTGTTTTCAGATATTATTTTATTCTAAAGTATACTACTAACTAAAGAGTAATACTTACAGTAATACGAAAAGAGATATCATAGGAAAATTTGCAATAAAACTATTATGCTGTAATCTAATACTATAATAATGTTATTCTGCGAAACATTTGTATTTTTTACACCTGGCTAGCGTATATATTTTGACGCGTTAAATAGGGTGCTAGGGGTATATTATTCAATTGTCAACACTAAACAGTATGAGATATGAATATAACGGTAAACAGCTGCAAACCTGGATTCTCTAGTTCTTCTTACAGTTCCTAATGCTCCTGTATTGCCTGATGTTGTTCTCCTACCCAAGCCACTGGTATAACTCCTCTCCTTGGAGGTACCTTCGGTTTGAAAGTTTTTACGGAATAATATATTCATGGTAGCACGGTATCCACACCATAAATAGACGTCACGAAATTTTTAACCAAAAAATAGTGTAGTTTTTTCTATTCATTTTGGAACATTGTGAGTAGGTTTTAGCACAATGAACAACGGCACGTTACTGCGTGTGTTTTTGGAACGTCTTATTAAACTAATGTGTAGCAAAATCTAATGCTGTCATAAATATACAGTGGCTATTTATAAAAGTTGGCGGTCCTTGTGGGAAGATCCCTTGCCAATTTGATTATAATATACACTCTAAAGTTTGAATATTATGAAATTAATGACATTCATTGGGTTCTAATAAAAACGTAAGTAGAAAATTTGATAACAAGTTGCTACATTTTGTTTGACATCAAACACCGGGTAAACACAAAGGACGAAACATAAAAAGTATACATTGGCAATGCAGTAATAGTATACATACAGGTCTTATGGTCCAAAAATCTACTTTTCAATCATATCTGCCCAATAAATATCTATTTAACAAAATTATCTACAATTACACAGTTGTCGTGAAACTACCCAATAATGTTAAATAATATTATCATTACTAATTTAACTCTCTTTTTAAAAGCAGTTACTGATTTATTTATTGACTATGGAACAACTACGTATTATTTTTTCTGTCAATAAAGAATTTTTACTAGACCAAAAAATTAAATATACCATAAAAGAAGCGCGAGTAGAAACTTATACACTAGCGCCGCTCTCTTAAAGATACATATAAATTTACATTTCTAACAACAAATAATTATTCAAAAGAAAATTTACATCATATTCATCTACCTAAATCTATTTATTTTATATTTGAGAAACAGTCAACAGAATTTGAAAGTCGAAAGTCTGTACTTTAGTTAATTTAATAAATATAGTAAACATTTTTTTGATTTTGTTGATATTAGTTATGAAGAAACAAAATGTCAATGTGGCCTTTATAACGTAGACAAAATATCATGGTGTAGGCTTAAAAAAGTAGAACAAATGTTATTGGCCAAAAAAATTCATGTTTTGACTAGAAACCAAAAACTATTAGACGATTAGAATATGTCCCATACTAACATTGTTTATGCATAATAATTAATTCTCTTTTAGATATCTATGTGTAAATCAAAAATTATTACACAATTATTCATTTAATAAAATAATATATTTAATAATACTGTGTATATTCCTTTTTATTTTTTATATTTTTAGTATGCATTTAAGAAGTACAATTTTACATAAAATAATCTATAAATGATACTGTAAAAAAATTAAAAATTACTAACAAAAAATTATAACAACTATATATATATAAAGATGATTGTAAGATTAAAACAATTTTAAATTACATTAAAAAAATGTTTAAATAAATGTTGAAAACAAAAATAATTTACAAAAAAATTAAATTGTTATTAATATTCATATATAAATAAGTAAAATTATTGTTAATTTAATTATTATATTAAAGTTAATAGTTCAGCACTTTTTTTTTATAAATTAAATAATTATATCGTTATTTTTTCAACTAGTTTATTTGATAAATTAATTAATAATTTAAACTAGAAACTCTTAATTGAGGCAATACAAAATATACAATTCATTGGAACAACAGTCACACAAAAGTTAAATTTATTTAGTCATAATTGTAAAAATAGATAGTAATGTATAAGTTTAACAAATTTTATTTAAATATTATTTATTGTAAAGTTTTATGAAATCTTTCAAATTTAGTTGAATATTGTCAATTAGAATTCAGTACAGTACGAAATATAGTTGTTAGTACTTAATTCATTAAAATTAACAATATTTAATTAATAATAATGACTAGAATAACTGGCAGAATATATATCACAAGTACAGAGTATTTACAAAAATAAATAAACATAGTTTGGTTGCAAGGAAATTGATATAGAAACTAGTTGTTAAAAGCTACTTCAAACATTTTTTTACTAAATGCATTTAGGACTGAATAATGTACATTACAATTACTCAAATCAATGAAATCCACAAGCCTAAAACTTACTAAATTTCAATAGGTTTTTTTAATAAATTGCACTTTCTGAGTGTGGTTAACTTATTCCTTAAATTACCAAAGCGAAAACCTTAAATATTTTTTCATAGTAATAACAGTTGGTATTGTCTAAGTTTTAACTGCACTGTACTAATCTTACCAAATCTTTGTTCAAAACAAGCATTTGACCAAAATTGGTAGCTTCTTATTGTTGTTTAAGGTAGTAAATCAAGTGGAATGTTAAGATAACACGACATTTATACTTTGTTTAAGGCGATTCTAAATCAGAAATTCGGCGTATTGATCTATATAGATTTAAAGGTGGCATATTGGGATGTTCTATTCTTGTAGGTGACGATACACGTGGTCTTATAGTTTGATATTCAGGTATGCGTCGAATAGTGTCTATTTGTTGGTATATATGCTGTTGATCATAAGGATAGAAGGCTCCGTTTTCAAAATTTGGATTGGCAATAGTTTGCGGATGATGATGTACTGGCCGCCTAACTGTAGCAGTTGTATCAATGTTGCCCGTAGGAGATAAAGTAGCCCAGAATGTTTTTGGTGATATATCTATAGTGTCATACAAATTAGGACTTTTCTTGGGTTCAGGACTGTAATCAGATTTACTCCAATGTTTTCTACTACAAAAAAAAAAAAATTATTTATAAAATTTAATTAAAAATAAAAAAATCAATATATTTATTACTCTTTTAGTCTCATTATAACAACTAATATAATGGTTCCAACTAGCATTACTCCTAATAAGCATGTGGATACAAACATCCAGAAAGAATATCCCTCAATGATAGGTCCTTAAATAAATTTAACATTATATCAATACTTTCTTTCTCAATTTAAATATTCTTAAACGATTCTATGGATCATATTTTTTTAAATTTACCATGCTGTGGTAGCTCTACAAATCCGACACCTTGATCTACATCGCACATTGATTTACAAGGTTTACCCGGTTCTAACTCATTTGTTTCGATTAGAATATTACTGTGCGGTGAATTTGATTCATTGTTTCCCAATTGATCGTCTAACACAGCGGCTAAAAATGAAGGCATTGGAGGTGGTGGCATTTCCAATATAGATGGTGGTGGACCTAGATCGCCACATTCATGCCCAGTGGTCCCAAAGCAAGCAGCCGCAGCGCCCAAACACAAGGCTGAACTGATGAGATAAATCTTCATTTTTTCTATATATACAAAAATAATTGTCAATTATATAAAAAAATTTATTTTACTTTAAATACCCTTTTGACCACCAAAAATATAGTACTTAATGTTTTACAGTAACATAACATATTTTTCTTGAATTTTGATTACTTGTATTGAATAAGATACTAAAAATCATTATTAATAATTTTTAATTATATGTAACACCATTTCAAGCTAATCAAATGGAATAACGGACCATTAAAGCTTTCTACAGCTTTATCTTTATCTAAATAAGTAAGGTTCATATCATTTGTTTTTTAAACATTTTCCATTAACTACGTGTTCCTAGTGAAAATGAAATTTTATATATAATTTGGAAACAATTGTATAGATAATAATTTTTGCACTCTTTAATATTTAGTAGATTAAATACGCTAAAAATAATACTTTATATACAATGACAATTGAAAAATAGGTTCAAGGCGGTGTGCATCATTCGATCTACTACAAGGGAGTTTGAAATGATGATTGACACTTTTGTTACTTATGGTACAATGATGTCACCTTTGTTCTTAAAAACAGTAACAATCAAAAGTAAATATTACTAAGTATGCATACAGCTTGACTTTTTTCCCTACATATTATTTATTAAAATAACTATTTTTGATTTTTTATAATTTAAACAATTATTGCCGCATTTGTTGTACTGTTATAAACATAATAATTATGACTATTATATTTTTTACTTTTGCTTATAATTATTGAGCTAATTATTATTTTAATAAAGGCTATTAAAAAAAACTATAATAATAATTAATTATACTACATGATATTTAAATAAAATTTTAGCTTAATTCTATAACTTGATTTATTTGTTCTGTCCAAATGAATTGTGTATCACAGTGACATAATATTAATTATTTTGGCTCGAACGCATAATTCTTAGTATTTTACTGCATTAATTATAAATATTTTATTTTAACTCCCGATTAATAAAAAATATATGTTATGAAAAAATTTCAAATAACTAACTATTTTTCTACACATTTTAGAATATTTATTTTTTTTTTTAAACGATAAAAATATTATTGATTATTTATTATCATATATACTATATGAGAAACTATTATTGGACTGCTAATATCTTTATGGGAGAATCTTTTATGCCACCTATATTACTTCTTAATTAACTTCCTAAATTAATTAAATTTTTTAAATTACTTAACTCCAAATCTCGGTAATTCTGTTTTAATATAATTATAAAACCCTTAGTACTCTTTTATAATTTATATAAAGAATCACTAACTTATTCATTTGATACAATATTATAAACAACCATATGACTTATTGTCATATTATTGTTATATTATTGTATTCTATTTTATGTTTATTCACCAACAGTATCAAATACTCACACTATTAATATTTTTACACGAAATTGTTTTAAAAATATTTACTAAGAATTATGAAAAATGTTCATGGAATTAAAATATCTATTTTAAACCTGGATATTGTACCATTAAATACGACTTACGCAAATATCCTATTCCCCTAGAATATTTGAAAATATACAGATACGCACACGCCAAATAATCTATTAGCTTTATTGGTTGCTATGTAGAAAACAATGCGGAAATTAGACGGTGTTACTGTATTTTTTTATGTTTAATATCAATAATTCGTGCACAAAATCTGATAACGGTAGACATTAGCCAATAACGAGTTCTCATCAATGAAAACGCTTAATAAGTAATACGGAATTTGTCACAGTAACGTTGTGTGATTGGTTTTGAAAAAGTATTTTAAGCTTAAATAAAGATAATAACATTCATAACTTACTTGTAACGTGATGTCTTTGTAGTTCGGTGACTATCTGAACTGGGTAACGGCGGGGCAGATGCGCAAAATCGGCTTTCACGACCCTTGTATCGATCTCCCCGCTCTGACAGCGCCCCATATCCGATCACCCTGGTAACCGTGTGGAAGCATACAAGGGAACTCGTTTTAGAGACAGAAGAAAAGGGCGCCTTTTTAAATGAGTCTGATGAAGTTTTAAAAAGTCTTTGGCGTTTGACTTTGTGATATCGGCATTGCGTGGGCCGTGAAATCGCAACAGTACGTACAATCTCCTACGCCTTTCTATTGGACAGGCAAATGCCGTTAATATAGATAATGGCGAGGACAATGAAACTTTAATATCCTATCATCCGTTTCACCATCAACTGTAATGAACAAATACGTTGTTTTTGCTATCAAAATAGAAATAATAAAGATAAAAGCACAAAGCGAGTAAGTGGCAGATGAAAACGAAAATATTATCATAGAATGCAGAAAGTACGCCACTTTAACATTTTTAATATAATACTGTTTATGAAAATTCTATGCAAGTCTGATCTCGACAGAAAAAAACATTGTTTATTTTATACCTATCAACTCGTGTTTTGAATATATTATGATTGTGGATTTTATCAGAACATTGAAACTTGGATATATCCTTATTTGATATTTTTTCCATCTGCCATAATCATATTATATACTTTTGGCTTCGAAACGTGTGTAGAAATATGAAAATCGGATTACTGATCGGATACAATGATACAGTACTAAATATGACTTATCAGTTATCATGTATAAATGGAGTGAAAATATTGACATTTGACAATGAGTGTTCCATGAAAATAAAAATATATTTATTATATGTTGTAATGTGTAGATACACATTGATTGTTTTTTTTCATGTTTCAATTTTTACTCACCATCATAAAAAATATGTAACCATCATTTATGATATAAATCTATATATGTATATACAAACATGACATTCTGTATTAACTGTAAAATATATATTCAATGAAAACATCAATTAAAGTTTTATCAGATTATTACTGCATAAAAATCAAAATGGACTAGAACCTTTTATATATATATATATATATGTATATTTATTTTACAGCACTTTCATTTGTTTAAATGTTAAAAATATATTTTTTTTATTCGTAGCAGTATATCAAATTTTAAATTTATTGAAAGAAAAGTTGACTTTTTTTTAATGTATATATATTGTAAAACTAATGACTTAAAAAAAATTTTCACAATTTTTATGAGTTGTAAAATAAAAACCTATAAAATAATGATTTCATATCGTAAAGATGTATAACTATCTGAAATAAATTTTAAATGTAATAAACTATTATAAATCAGTTTTGTTTTGAATAATTAATTAAAGTCATGTAACTAATTATAAAACTATTTAACTAAATATTTCAATGAGTAAAAATTATTTACTTATTTTTTACGTTAGAATATTGTTGAAAAGTTTAACTCTTAATTTATAAATTTTTTTTTTTTAATGATTAAAAATTAAAGGCAGTTTTTTTAAAACTAATTAAGTTAATAAGTCCATTTAATGAAAAATTGAGGATTTGTTGAACTTTAAATTGCAATAACTGGCATTTTTTAAATGTTAAATACTAAATCATAAATCTCAAAATTTTAATGATCAAAATTATATATTCATTGTCTCTAATATACTTTCATGTCAATATTGCAGTTTAAAATTTTTAAAATTAAGTATTTATCATTAATTAACAAAATTATTTGACTTTCTGAATGAACTAAACCCATTTACATAGAAGGTAAAATGACGCTGTAGTATTTGAGTGTTACATTCGGTATTTTCTTCATTAAAGAACGTTTTACAAGTAATGCTTGGTATAAATAAGACTAAAAAAGTTAAACAATTTAAAAGTAAATATTATTGTAAGTTGGCATTTTCAGCACAAGGATGGAACAGGACACATACCATGGACCTACGCATAGGAGAACTTTTAAAAGGTTCAATATTTGATTAAAATGAAACAAATAATAAGAAATAAATTAATGATTTTTTATTCTATTTAACTGTGTTGCTAAAAAGGCAAAAGTTAAAATGACGTGTTCAATTTGATACCGATAAGCTTTTTAATACATTCGTCTCAAAAAATTTAGTCTGACTTTTCAAACAAATTTTAAACACTTGCCTGTTCACGTAAATCATAAATTCATTACAGATTGATAAGTAATATTGATATAATTTTTCAACTTTTGAAACGCTTCGAAGAAAATATTATTAACACGAATATCTCCCTTATTATATTTCTATAAATATAACGGTTTTTCTAGCAAAATTATACGAGACAAGTACATAGCTATTTAGTTAAGTATCACATAACACTAAATTGTAGAGGGGATTTATGAGACAGCCGCTGGAAAGGGCGGTAAAGGGAATAAGCAGAGTTCACGAAACGTGATACAAATAATAAATTTAGTTTACAGTATTTTAAGTAACTCAAAATGTCATGGTTGTAGGCGGTATAATAATGAGTATGTATATTGATTAATAATAAATAGTGCTATAACAATTTGTTCTGAATAAAATGTTAAACTTTTTTAGTGTATAAATATTGAGTTTATTTTTAGCTTCGATGCGAAGCTGTGAAGGTATTGGTTTTACTAAGATGTGTTTATTTATTTTTTTTTTTTTTGTGTCTGTTACCACTTTTTCTCAGCTTTCACCGAACCAGTTTCTTTCAATAATACGTCAAAGATCACAAATTGTATCTAGTCGAAGACATTACCCTCAAAAATTGAAAAAAATGCCCTCGTTCCCCGTAAATGGGTGAAACCTCCAAAAAAATTACAAATTTAAAAATCGCCAATTTTCGAAATTTTTANTTTAAAAATCGCTAATTTTCGAAATTTTTTCAATTTTTTTTACTTAAAAGTGCCATAACTTTTTCAAAAATGAACATATGAATATAATTTTTTTTTATAGATGCTTGATGTCTTTACCTATCATTTGATATTTTTTTTTTGTAAATTTGACCCTTTATCTACCCACAGGGGGAGATTTAAAATGACAACTTTTTCACAAAAAATTAACTTTTTCAACTTAACTTTTGAAAATGTTCCGGAAGGTCTGACACTTTTATATATATCTTAAATTAATGCTAATGTAATATTCTTTATTATGCAAAAAAAAATTTCGGACTTTATTTTATCTTCACGGTGAAAATGGCTACCGAATGTTATTTTTGTGTGAAAATTTTCGATTTTGTATTTTACATTTTTAACTTTATTATGCTATAACTTTTTGAAAAATGTATGGATCAGTACAATTTTTTCATGAGGAGTAGTATTTATATACATCTTTCATTTGACATACTGTTTTTTTAAATCCGACCATTTCCCTATATACGAGGGGGGTTCAAATCTAATATAGAAAGTAGAAAGTAGAACTTTTTCAATTTAAATTTTGAAAGTGTTCCGGAAAGTCTGACACTTTTATATATATCTTAAATTAAAGCTAATGTAATATACTTTATTATGCTAAAAAAAAATTTCGGACTTTATTTTATCTTCATGGTGAAAACAGACATTAAACTTAATAAAAAAAATACGATTTTTGTAAAAAAATTCTTTTTTATATTTTTAACTTTATAATGCTATAACTTTTTGAAAGATGTATGGATCAATATAATTTTTTTTTTATAGATGCATGATGTCTTTACCTATCATTTGGTATATATTTTTTTTATATCTGACCCTTTACCTGCCCACAGGGGGGGATTTAAAATGACCACTTTTTCACAAAAAATTTACTTTTTCAACTTAAATTTTGAAAGTGTTCCGGAAAGTCTGACACTTTTATATATATCTTAAATTAAAGCTAATGTAATTTACTTTATTATGCGAAAAAAAAATTTCGGACTTTATTTTATCTTCACGGTGAAAATGGCTACCAAATGCTATTATTGTGTGAAAATTCTCGATTTTATTTTTTACATTTTTAACTTTATAATGCTATGACATATTGAAAAGTGTATGGATCAACATTATTTTTTTATGAGAAATAATATTTTTTAATAATCCCTTTTTCATTCTACATACTTTATCTTAATTAGGATATTAATAATGAACTAGCAGATCATGTAGCTTTTGGAATAGTCCACCAATTTTTTAAAATAAAACAGTATCTAAAGATTTGCATGGAAGCGTTTTTTTTTATAGTGATTTTAATCACTGTCAGATATCATTATACTTGATCCATCTATACCACGTCACCACATTGCCGCGACCCCCCTGTGCTGGGTTTTTTTTTAACATTCTAACACATTTCTGTAAAATATTTGATTTAAAACATGAAAACATTGAAGTTTAGAGTTTTAGATGTTTGCAATTATTTTTTCATCAAATTTGTATTAATTACCTAAGTTATTATAATTTTTTGATTGTATATATTATTTTTATATCAATGATCTCAAAAAGAAGTATTTGCACTTTTAAGAATTATCTTGACGTTTCATTTCAAATTTTTATCGCCATAAGAGTCAATTTTAATTTTAATGAATTTTTTCATATGATATCAATATATCAATATAATAATATAGGAACAATTTGTTTTTTCGATATCACGATATAATATCGCTGAAATTCGATATGATATCGATATCCAAAAATATATCGTATAAAAAATATAATATAACGAACCCTATTAAAGAGTCATAACCAATTGACAAGATAGTTATCATTTGCCTACACTTATTGCATACTCAAGTCATTTTGTGCTCTAGACAATCAATATATAAACAATTTTTAACTCAAATATTTTCAATTCAATAACCTTTTCAATTATAAAAATATAAATATTTAAATTTAGATTTGTAATGATTTAAAATATTTAAATAAATGTATGGAACTTTAAATGTTGTTACAAAGAAGATTAAAAAAAAGTCAAATGCTCCATCTTATTTCGTGCTACACTTCTCTTAAATATTCAATAGGGTCGTTGAATT